TGGCCCGCCGGACTGCTCTTCAAGTTCAAATCCCACCTACCACAGTCCTTATATCTAATACTCCAACCCTACCTCTCCGACCGCTCCTTTCGAGTTCGCTGTGTACAGAATTTTCCGACTGTTACTCGATTGAGGCTAGAGTTCCTCAAGGCAGCGTCTTGGGTCCTATCCTATATATCATCATTTCCGTCCATCCCGATACACTCTTGGCAACTTTCACTAATGACACTGCTATCCTATGTTCTAACTCAGACCCTAAAACAGCGTCCATAACCCTGTCCATAACGGCACCTATACCTGATTGAACACTGGTACAAGAAATGAAGCACCAAAGTCAATGAATCCAAATGTAAACATATAACCTTCACCCTTCGTCGTAATTCCTGTCCACCAGTTTACTCCAATTACATGCAGCTTCCCTTCTCCGACACAGTCCGGTATCTTGGTTTTCTCCTTGACAGACAACTAACGTGGAATCCGCATACTAGACTGAAAAGACAGGAACTTAACCGACGTTATGGCCAGCTATATAGACTGCTTAATAGAAAATCTAAACTTTCTATTGAAAACAAACTACTGATCTAAAAGACAATATTAAAACCCATCTGGACCTACGGACTAGAACTGTGGGGGACAACCAAATTTTCTAACATCAAACGCATTCAATCCTTCCAGTCCAAAGTCCTCCGTACAATAGTCGATGCTCCCTTCTATGTCTCCAATAAAACCCTGCACAATGACCTTAATATTCCATTTATTCTTGATCTTATCCCAGACAAATTCTCCAAATTTCATCAGAACCTTACCCATCACCCTAATCCCGTAGCACAACCCCTATCTAGCACCACTCATCACTACAATCCTCCTCACTGGCTGAAACGGCAGTGGCTCCGTGACCTTTTGTAACATGTATATATTGGAGTTCTGGCAATTGCCAGATTCTCCACTCAAGTCATGAGTGTCCGTGGTTGTAGCGCCCTTACTCAATCTCCGCTGGCTTACAATAGCGGTGAAATGGTTGAGGAAGAAGCGCAGGGATCTCCTGAAGCCTTGCCTTCCCTCCACATGTGGGGGGATAAGTATGGTTTGGAGTTCCCATGGCCGACTGTAAATAGGTATGCCTGCGTCTAAGATGTTATTTTAATTTTATTATTACTATTATTTATTTACTTATTTTATTTTTCTATATTTCTTTTTCTTTATTATTTCTATTATTCTTAGTTATTATTTGTATGTACAAATAATCACTAAATGAAATTAGAAAGGAATGCAAAATCAATTTTATAGGCAAAGCATGGTAGTGATGGAATATAAAAATTAAAAAAAAAATAAATAACTGTTGATTTATAAAGAAATAAATTGTAAAAAAAAAAATGATTATATTATATATATTTCTCTGATTTCTGCCGTTTTTTTTTTCTCTTTAATATTCTTTACCACTAGAAATCATAGACATTTCGTATTTTCTCTAAACTCACCTTATTACAATTCAATGAGACGCTGGGTAGCCATTTATTATGTAACAAAATTTCATTATCTCTGTGTATCATCTGTATATATATATATATATATATATATATATTCTTTTTGGAGTATGAAAAAGATGTCCAGACACTTTCACTGAGAATTGTGTTTTGTTAGTTTTTCAGTTTATAAGATTTTAAGTCTTTGAGATGTATTTAATTGATTACTAATATTGAATGCACTCCTCTATATGTATATCATCTTTTATTTTCTCCGATCAATCTACATCTTAGGATATAGATTATATAAGACTTGTATAATTTTTACAAAACTATTATTGTATTCATTTGAACACATTAAGGTACAGATGTAAATCATTTATAGTAAATATTAATTTACTCTTTTATTATTATTTTTTTCATTACTACAATAGTTTCACAACAAAAGTAATTTATCGTTCATTTCAAATTTTATTTAGTTATTTCATATTTTGTGTTGGTAGCAACTATTTTACAGTATTGTGACCTTATTGCTCATATTCTTTCTTTAATATATCTGTATAGCTATGTAAATACTTCTGTTATTACATATGTGTTAGTTATTCTTTTATTGTAATATACATTTTGGGCAGATGTTAAGTAAATTTTTATGATCAATATTGTTATTCTTAAGAGACTTTGTCCCAGAATAAAGTTGATTCTTCTATTCTTCTATATAAGGGGGACTGGGATAGCTGTGCGGGCTAAGGCGCTTGCAATAGGTGATCAAAGTTAAGCAATGTTGAGCGTGGTTAGTACTTGAATGGGTGACCTGTCCACTAAGGGAAGCCACGCTGCTGGAGATTTATCTTCCCCCCCCCCAGGTATGTGAGCCCTGTCAGCCTACTGGAAGCAACTCATACCGACGGGTGTAGGACTGATGAACCTACCCCGTGTATAGAAATTGGGAATCGAGATGTGGTCTACTAAGATGTCAATAGCCCCCCTGAGGTTTGGTCCATGAACGGTCTGTCTCAGGGAAAGAAATATAGGTCCTCTTGCACCTGCTGACTCTGAGCAGCCATAATCCATGGATCTAGAAGCGATCTGTCACTGTCCTTGAACCCAAGTGAGTTGGTGGGGAAAAACAATCAGATTGGCCCATATTGGGTGAATCCCTCCAGGCTACCTGAGCTCGCGCAAGTAATGAGGAAACCGCATCCCACGGCCGAAGATAGATAGATCTTTATTCTGGGACGAGGTCCATTATAACAGTTATGAACAAAAAAATAAAAACCACATCTGGCCATAAATTACAATAATCAATATTAAAGAAAATATACAGTATCTCAGTAAAAGTATATTAAAAGAAGTCATTTTCATAGTATAAGTATAAGAAGTGATTTTCATGGTCTGTAGTGCCTACCGAAAAAAAATAATATATATATATATATATATATATATATATATATATATATATATATATATATATAGATAGATATATTCATTTATTCATAGTTGCAATGACTGTAACTATTATAAACATAGATTTATCACTTTCTGATCAGAATATGCTTTTTTGGAAATCTTTTATTTACTCATAATATATTTTAAAGTTGCCACAAAGTAATTTTATTTGATTTCAGAACATCAGCTTCCCCCACAGTGCAAACTTGCTGACTGTTCATTCCTTCATGCCAACACATGCAGAGACCACCATTTAATAACACGATGTTGTTGTAATAAAGTTTTTAGATTTTAGTTTAATGTGATACAATATCTATTGTTATATTTAACAGATACTTAATGTTTTTAATTTAAATATAGAATTTTTCTACATTAAAAGTTATTTTTGTTTTTCTTCTTAAACTTTTACAATACAAGTTTAGTTACATTTTAATCTGTAACCATTTTTAAAACTAATGAATTTCACACTTCACTAGGTAATTTTTATTTTTTATTATGAAAATACTACATTGAAAGTATTTTAAATATCAGGTAAAGTCATTTACATATAGCTTCCAATAATAATAACATCTAGTATCAAGAAAATATTAATTCAAATGTCTAGGTTTTATGCTGGTGATCTTCGTTAGTTCACATTATAGGAAAATATCCTTACAAATATTAAAACTAAAAATTTAAAAAAATAAATTTGTTAAGAATATTATATTCCTTCACACCCAAGTATTTTAATTATCAGAGAAATATCTGTAAAACACACACACACAAAGTTTTACTCCAACTTTCTATTAATAATGCTACATTAACATAAATTAGCATCTAAAATGGTACTCAGGATAATATCATAATGTAATTAACTACCAACAATACTTTTAATAAGCTATGCTAACGGCAGATGTCTTAATGATTGTTGATGATTTATGCCATAGTATGAATTTACTCCAGCTATCTTATTTTGTTGTAATTTCAGTTTAAAATTAATAAAATTTTGTTGATTTTTATTGGAAAACAATAATTTTTAACATAAGCAACAATTTTTGTTTAATGAAATAGATAAATAATTACCTACCCAACAAAATTTCATTCATCAACAAACCACTATCAAGTATTCTCCTTTAACAAAACTCTTTTAAAAACATTAGAATTATCATTTCGTAATAATAGAGAACAAAGTTATTTCACAAACATATGAACTAACTTTAAAAAATTGTTAACTGTCTTGATTATGTGTTTATGGTTAGAACCAAAAAGTGAAGTTTTAAGAAATAGTACGCAACAATGCAAATAGATTTGGAGCAACATTTTGAATTTACAAAATACATTGAAAACAAAGATAACTGTTGAATGTATCAATGAAATCAAAAAGTACTGATTTTGTTTTTTAATAACAGCAAATATGTTTTCCAAATATGGATACAAAAGCATCAGAAAGCGTTAGAGCTCTGCTTCACATATTTTTAAAAAAATAATATTACAGAACAGAAACTCTACTTGATAGATAAAACCTTTTTTTTCTCAATAGAAAATAATTACCGTTTGGCCAATTAGTCTTGAAAATCAAAAGCTATTGTTTATTTATACTTAGATTATGTTTAACTGGTCTTATTAATCACTTTTTAGTAATTCTGTTATTTCCCAAATGCTGGATTTAACCTAGATATTTTTTCTTCTTTTGTTTTTAAATCATGATTTGATTTGGAATCCTTTTTGTGGTAAAAAAATGTTTTAGTAAGGGAAATTATATACTGAAGAAGGCAAAATAAAATTGTATAAAAACACTTCAATAATAAAATACTCTTTAAAGAAAGACTTCAATTTATATTGATCCTGAACATACATATTTTCAAAAATCACATTAGGAAGAGGGTTTAAAAGATGGATATTTTATGCTAAATGGATTGAAAGGTTATTTAAAACCCTTTAACGGGTTTAACTAAATCATTTTGACCAACTTCCGATAAAGATTTATATTACACTGTATATCTTATCAGCAATCATTCTGATGGAAATAAATCTGAAATTAACTCACTTTGGCTAACATGTTAAGGCAAGGAGATTAAAATCATAGGTGTTTACAAAAAATAAAAGGCCTGATGCGATTCAATCGACTTTTTGTATTTTAGAGAATTACATAAAAAAATATTAATACATTAACAACAGGAAACAAGAAAAAAAATAAATAAAATGTTTCTAAAAGAACTAAAGGTTTTAATCATAATGATTAGGATCATTTACATAACTAAATTTCTGACTAGGAAACATATTATTTGCTTTGAAACAGACTTCATCATAGCAATACTTTTGAAGATACAAATACTAAGAAAAAGGTAGCGAGTCTGATTGGTTACTTCCAAATGACCACGATACCCTTAGTATATGTCCTGATTGGCAAAGAATCATATGATTGAGCATCGGTGATGGATCATCAATCAGACAATGAGAAAATAGAACATAGATAATATAATTGGATACTCAACTACATTCTTTATGATTGGCTTTATATATGCAATGAAAATTCTATCACCAAACCCCAATCGTATGATCCTCTGGCAAGGGAAATTCATTCACATAATACCATATGTGGATTTTATAGTATAAAAAATAAAACCATATAGGTTTAAATGAAAAAAATTACAGGTACAGGATGAAGACACCAACCAGATCAAATACCACTGAATAATATAAGTCGGTGTGATTTGCTCTCCTTGATTTTCTCATTATCCAGATAAAACTCAAACTTTTACTGCCCCTATAGACAAGAAGTAATTAATGGAAACTATAAACAAATAGATAAATATTGAAAATTTACAAACAAGAGTAATTTTATTTTTTAGATACTACATATTATCCTATTAACAATTAAAACGTACAAGCAAACTAACAATTAATGATTAATTATTGGTTTTCTAAAATAATTTAATAATTTAAGTCACAGAAATAATTAAAAAATGTAAGATATTATTACATGGCATTTCTGAATCAATTATATCATTGATCATTTGCAAATGCTATACTGCATTACTATAGTCTAATAAAGTTCTGGGAATTTTTCACTCTTATAACATAGAATATTACTAATCTGAACATTAGATTTTTAATCTGGGCAAGTTTAGCAAAAATAAAATGTAGTAAACTCAAAATTTAATTTAGATTTAGTATGAAAAAAAATTTAAAGACGGTTTGACCTACTCAGTTACCATATATGAAAAAGTGTTGAGACCTAAGACTTCAAAAGCATTCTATTTCCTAATTTTTCAAAAGTCAAGATTGCTAAGGCAACAGAAACAGGTTAAAAAAAAAAAAAATCATACTTAGTAGGAAGCTTTGTACATTTGTAAGAACATTACAGACTTTTTTTAGTGAGTCTAAAAATATTATTCATGTTTTCATAACATACTGTACACTGTTTTATTATATAGTCTAATTCATAATTTAAAGTTAGTTTAGTTTTTAACTTATATATAGTTATGTTTATATTTTTTTCAATATCTCTTTTTTTTCCTCTTGTCATCAATATGGACGATATGAATGTTGATAAGAACTCATCAAACGAAGAATCTGAAGATGAGACGCCCTTTTCTGAAATTAGTGAAACTGATTCGCAATACTTGAAAAAGCGTACTCTACAAAAACGTCACCGAAACTTTGTACCTGGGTTCGGGGAGAAACTCACCTAATAAGAAGAAAAACAAATTGACGAAACCCAAACAGTCAAATGGGCAAAATAAATCGACTAAATCTAAACAGTCAGTCGAAACTAAATCTCCACCTAAAACTAGAAGTAAATCGAAATTATAAACCCAGAGCCATCTACACCAAATATCACACCCAGCAAGAATTCCACTTCTATCAACACATCAAACAAGACTTCAGAGCCTCAAGCTATGTCTGACACCCAGCCGCCACCCATATTTGTTTCTAAAATTGATAATTTCTTTTCATTTGGCCAACAAATCGCAAATCTTATCGGACAGACAAACTTTCATTGTTTTTCCAGAATCAATGACGTTAAGGTCAACACACATTCTAAAGAACACTATAAAATACTTATCAACTACTTTACAAACAAAAGATATGATTTACATTGCTACCAATTAAGAGAAGAAAAAGCATATCGAGTGGTTTTAAGAGGTCTTCACTCTATCATCCCGATATCAGTTATCAAAATAGACCAAGAAGAAATAGGTCACAATGTCAGGCATATTTCATGCGTACTTCATCCAACAGAAAAATATCTTAGTGCGGCGAACAACGCTCTACAAGCTACAAAGGTTGTAAAGTATACAAAAATTTCATTAAGCTTAGATCTTAGAAAATAGCCTTACAAAGTTTAAATCCGAGTCAGAAAAGTTCTATTTAGCCACTTGAAATTGAAAATAAGACTCAATTTCCAGAATTACCCGAAATTACACTACAGCCTTCTACGTCAGCAGTCGTCGATTATCAGGACTCCAGAAAACCATATTCAAGTAAAAAGAGTAAGAAGCAGCAGCCTCGACCTCAACAGACGCCCCAGACTTCCAAATCGAAATCCATCAATACTTCCAATCCTCAGTCTCAACCTCAACAACAGAAAATTCCTATCCATCATCTACTCCTAAGGGTCAAACTTCTGCCACAGAACCCTCATCCATCCCATCCTAAGGTCGAAACAAAATCTCCACCACAAATACTTTTGAATGCAGACCTTCCTCATACACGACGGATCCTTCAGCTATCACTCCTAACCATATTGATCACCCACCACAACATTCTAATCCAAATCAACTTTATAACCAACATCCAATAGACATAATTACGATCCTCTCATCCTTCCTATCAGATTTACAAGATATTATAAAATCTCTTATCACCCTTCTCACTAGAATCCTGACTGAAATCCATTTAATTTTCCATCTAACATTATCAGCTGTATACTGTCCTGGTAATTCCCTCTCTCAGAGTTACACAGTGGGCCAGACCCTCCTACCGTGCACCCCTCCTCTCCAAATCCCTATAAATTGCATATCATTGTGTCCCTTGTAACTATTTATTAAAAAAAAGCCAATGTTCCCACAAAAAAAGTGAACGAACTGCCCCAAAATGGCGTCCAAACATGGCGGACTGACGACTTTGACTTTAGTAAGTCTTTTGGTCACTGAGAATCAGCATTAGGCTTAATTTTGTCATAGTTGGTCTTTTATTAAAGCTGGATAGTCAGAGAATAATATAACATGAAAAAATGTTAAAAAATAATTGGCTTAGGCAATAAAAAACAACAGTAGTCAATTTTTTTGACAAAAATATTTTCAAATTGAAAATCAAGCGTCGTTTGTAATTAAACGGGCAACAATAACGCAAAACATGCTGAAGTAAAACCTCTGGAGAATATATTTTTCTTTCTAAAACACTGATTACTTTTTAAAATATTTGAAGCGGTTCAGTAGAAAATGCACTTAAGCGGCAGAAAGGAGTACTGGCGTGGGTGTCTACAGGCCTCAACCACACCATTCAGTGCTCATAAATGGCTTAGTAATAGTGCTATAATAATGTTTTTGTTACATTACATTGATTATATTGATGAACAAATATTAATGCAATAATTAAATTGTTAAATTTTTTTTTTAATTTATTATTATTTTTTTTTAAATTTAATTTCCTTTATTGTATAGGAAGGTCGTTTGAGAAGGTCTCTATTGTAAAAATTATAAAATTACAATAATAAAACTTAATTCAAAAATACTTTACTGAATATCATTATTTTTTTATTTAATGCTCGCAATTTGAAACACTTTGATTTGTATATTTACTGATTCTTAGAGGTAATTTAAATTGTATGTACTTTTCTGGAAATGAGTCATATTATTACTGGTTTTATAAACTAAAATAATATATACCTAATCTGAACTGCATATAATGAATAGTTGATGGGTTGTTTAGTAAAACACATATATCACTAATAAAAAAATTATATTTTATTTCCTTTGATTTGTTCTGAAGTAGAACCATATACAAAAATATGAAATTTTAATATTTAATACATTATTATCTCTGCACAAAGAAAGATGGAAAGGGTGAAGCTATAAGTTCTTCTAGGTAACTGGAACTGATTATTAGTATTTGGTCTCAAAATGAGAGAAAATGCGAAAATGGAACCCAAAAATTGGAAAAACACATTAAGGGAACGAGAAAGGAAGTGCCCAAATCTGGGAAAATAAAACAAGTATCAGTATACATTATATGGCTAAACGAATGTATAGTAGACAGATGTACAGAATATTTCAAGATGCTGCTAAAAGGGGCTCAAATTTTGGAGGAGTTTGGATGATATTAAGAGTACGATGCAGGATTTTTATGGTGAAGACCATTTTATTAAGAAGAAATATTTTTTCGAAAATATTGGCAAGTCAGCTGGTCTGTACGAACTAAACCAAACTGCTGCATAGGCAACAGATGTATTAGAAATAAAAGTACTGTAGTTTTGTCCCTTAATATGAAAGGAGATACTACGAAATGTAGTACCCATCGAGATTCATTCTTGGTAAGTGTACCAAAGAAACTCTACTCAAGAATCGTAGAAGCTAGAATAAGAATTATTGTCGATTGCCTGAGCGATATGGATTGAGAAACTCAAGTTGCACATTGGAACAGAAGTTGCAAATATGGACTGTCTTCACTTTAAGACAGGTTATAGAGAAGTCCATTAAGAAAGAAAAATAGCTCTCTATCTACTTAGTGGCACACACTTTGGATTGTGCTAATATCTTTTTTTTGGGGGGGGGGTCCTCCCCTTCCACGCTGTTAAGGCTATACGGGGGATTGCTCTAATATCTACTAGTCTTTCAGAAACCTCATTTTCCTTTCAGATTCCTTCAAAACTCTTTTGCAAATGTACTAAACAGAAGGACAGTTATTTCCCTTTCTCAAAAGACCTCTCCATAACCTGCTTCAATGTGAAGATAACCTGATTCAACTTCAGTAGCAATAAAAAATAAAGTGGTTTTCACCATAATAAACCTCATTTAGTTCGACCAGACTTGCTGACTTGCCAATTGCTTCACAAATATTTCTTCTTAGTTAAATGGTCTTCACCATAAAAAACCTGCATCGTATCCTTAATATCATCCAAACTCCTCCAAAATTTGACACTCTTTTAGCAGCATCTTGAAATATTCTGTTGATCTGTCTATTATACATTCGTTTAGCCATATAAAATGGATACTGATCCTTGTCTTATTTTCCCAGACTAATTTCGAACAAAATAAAGGAAATAAAAATTAATTTTTGTATTAGTGATATATGTGTTTTACTAAAATATCAACCCATCAACTATTCATTGTATACAGTTCAGATTAGGTATATATTATTTTAGTTTATAAAACCAGTATTAATATGACTCATTTCCGGAAAAGTATATACAATTTAAATTACCTCTAAGAATCAGTAAATATACAAATCAAAGTGTTTCAAATTGCGAACGTTAAATAAAAAAATAACGATATTTAGCAAAGTATTTTTGAATTAAGTTTTATTATTGTAATTATATAATTTTTACAATAGAGACCTTCTCAAACGACCTTCCTATAGGAAATTAAATTAAAAAAAAAAAATCAACTTCCAACAGCTATTCTATCCTCTCGCCCATGAATCCTACTTATTGGCCAACATCCCTCAAAAAACATCCCGATATCCTGGATATATTTATCACCTCCCAGATTTCGTCTTCCCAAGCTATAATTCTATAAAAATATAAAGTTCCTAGATGACCTTTCTTCAGATCATAGTCTAGTTCTGCTTTTACTACATTCAAACAATGCTCCTAAACCCTCACATCCTACATTGATTACAGGATGAGATAACTGGGACAGATTTCGGGATGATTTAGAAAATACACTAGATTTGAAAATGCCGCTGAAGACAAAACAAGATATTGATGGTGCAATAGACAAACTTACAGCATCAATAACAGCCAGTATTAATAAAAACATCTGTACCAATAAAGTTAATAATTCACAACGGACTAACTTGCCACAGCATATTCGTATCTTATTAAGAGAAAAATGCACAGCAAGAAGGAAGTGGCACATAACTAGATATCCAGCAGACAAAAAACATTACACCCAACTGACTAACAAAATAAATCAGAAATTAAAAAATTTTAAATTCTAAATTTACTAACTTTTACTGAAAAACTAACAACTACCGACAAATCACTGTGGATTACCAAAAAAAAAAAAAAAAGCCTGTACCACTGCAATCCATGAAGGGTCTTGGGTGTAGTACAATGTGAGGAAGTACTGTTCCAAGGCCAACGGTTGTGCAGGGAGGTGATGGGGCCGATATCACACTCAAACGTCAGGTTTTCCCCTTTAATTATTTTAGGGTACCCACTTTATAGAGGCTGGGTGTGCCCCAGGAGGGTCTCCCGATCCAAGGGTCGATCCACGGCTAATGAAAAATGACTAGTCATTAGCCGGATTCGAAACCAGGACCTTGAGCTCTGGAAGTCAGTGCTCACCCACTGAGCTACCCCGCTCCCTGTGGATTACCACTAAGAAGCTCCTAAAATTTAAAGATCATAATCATCCACGACTTACTGAATGTCAAACCTGGTCCAAATCTGACGAAGAAAAGACCCAAATATTTGCTCACCACCGCTTCAAAATCTTTAATCCGCATCCTGATATCCTTAATCCTAATCACCTTGAATGTATTGAAGCAGAACTGGATATTCCCCTCCAAATGACTCTTCCACCTAAAGCATTCCATCCCTTAGAAATATCCAATATCATTAACAGATTACCTTCCCGTAAAACTCCTGGACACCTTATTATTTCACAGATAGTCTCCTAAGCATTGGAGTGCAGAATGTACTGCACGGGAGTCTTTCTCAAAGTTGATCAGGCATTTGATAGAGTCTGGCATCCTGGATTGATGTACAAACTCCGTAAATTCCTATCACCTACATACTTCCTCATTATCCGTTCCTACCTTACTGATAGATACTTCCAAGTAAATCACAACAATACCAATTCATCCCTTTACTCCCAGTTTGCTGGTGTTCCTCAATGTAGTATCCTAGGTCCTATCCTTTACACAGTATATACAGCTGACATCCCAACACTATCATCACCACATATGCTGATGACACATGTATCCTGTCAGTTAATAACGATCCATCAATTGCATCCCAAACTCTTCAATCACATATCACAAACCTTGAAGAATGGTGTGAAAACTGGGGAATTAGAATAAATCCCAATACCTCCCATCAAATTACCTTTACTCTTTGACGTAAACTTATGACTTCCTGTCCTACAGTATCCTTTAACAATTCCCCAATTATCCCTGTTGAACAAATCTGATACCTAGGACCCCATCTGGACAAACGACTCACTTGGAATCCTCATACAAGACTGAAACGACAAGAAACAGCTCGACGTTTTCGACTACTCCAGCACTTACTAGACAAAAGCTCTAAACTTTCTATATATTACAAAGGACTCATATACATGACTATAATAAGGACAATCTGGACTTACGGAATTGAGCTTTGGGGCTCCACTAAACCATCAAATTCCCCTCGTATCCAATCCTTACAATCCAAAATCCTTCATAAAATCCTCAATGCTCCTTACTTTGTCACAACTAAAATAATTCAAAACGACCTTAATGTACCATATGTCTCCGATTTAGCCCAATCCAGATACCTATCCTTCCATAACAAACTTCAAAACCATCCGAATACTCTCATTTCAAACCATGCTTCCTCTTCGATACCTGATAATCCTCCAAGGCGTCGGAAAAGAAGATGGCCTCGTGATCCACTTATGTAAATATATTATTAGAGTGCTACCAATGGGTAGTTTCTCAACAAGCGTTTTCATGTGATTGTATTATTAACTTGTGCACATTTACTGGATGTATTTTTAATTTACACATTTGTAAATCTCATGAATAAATAAAAAAAAAAACTTATACATCACAACATTAACGCACTGCAATTTGTTTTGTGTCACTGTACAATAAATAAATTTTGGGTTATAATCACAAAGATGTTTTATTTGTTAATACTATCTCAGTTTATATATTGAAATTTTAGATCTACATCTACATTATGTAGTGTTGGAAATAAAATTAAAGTGAAGAAAATGGTTTGTTTATGAGAAAAAAAAATGCTAAAATATTTATCATATTTATTTCACAGCAAATATGCTGTTTGATGCAGGCTTTCAGTGATCTGGACAGGGTCCGGTCTCATCTGTTCTGGATTAGTAGGATTTGTACAATACTAAAAAAATGAATAGTTTTCATTCTGATTAAGCTTACTCAAAAAAATATATGTTATCATTCTTTACTGCCAAACCACACTGGAATTAAATGATAAAGGTTGTCCACACAAGATTAAATTTTGAGGTTTATTTGACCATTACTAATTTTGATCTAGCCTCCCGAGCCAGAGTGTAATTCAGACTTTCTACTCTATTTATAGAATATAGGGGAGGACACTCCCCCTCCTGTGGTGTCCATCAGGGCTCCTCCTTATCTCCTACTCTGTTTGCTATTTACATTAATGACCTTCCCCTCATGATACATCACACCCAATACCACATCTATGCTGACGACTTCCAAATATACCTATCCTTCTCCCCTTCTGACCTATTAGCCGCCATAAAAAAACTTCAAGAAGACTTAAATAGAATATACGACTGGGCAGGAGCTAACAAGCTAAAGTTGAATGCGGAAAAAACAAAGGCAATCCTAATAGGCTCCAATCACCTCCTTAAAACTGTTCCTACCATTCCAACCCTGTTCCTACATGATAATCCCATCAAATTTTATCCCACCATCAAAAACCTTGTAATAATCTTTGATCAAATCCCTTCCTGGAAAAATCATGTATCCAATATCTCCCGATGTACCTTTTCCACCTTAAAACATTTAAATAGCCTCCGTCACCTTTTTCCTTTTGAAACCCATAGACTCCTGGTCACCTCCTTAATATTTCTCCACTTTGACTATTGCTGCACGGTATATGGAGGCATCTCTGAGGATCTTGAGGTTAAACTAAAATGTTTGATAAATTGCTTTGTACGATCCATCTTCGGGACCCCAAGGGACTGGGCGTTTCACGTTTTTAAGAAGAGTTGAAGTGGCTTTATCTTTCCTACTGCCGCAAGTATTTCCTGGCATCCTTCCTCTTCTAAGTCATTCACTCCCGCCGTCCTTCATACATATCCGGGCTCCTTCAATTCAAATCTTTTGATCACAACCGCAATACCTGTTCCCGGTCTTCAGATTTATATATAATGGCCCACCAAACCGCTGATTTCAATAAATTTTTTAATATTCAATCCTCATCTCTATGGAACTCTATCCCTCCTGAGATCCGTCGTTCCAATACTCTCTCTACTTTTAAATCCCACCTATTCAATCACTTCCTTTCCATCCCATCCAGTCCCTATAAAATTGTAAATAGAAATTTCTGTAAATATGTATATATATTATTAGTTTGTTTTCATTTCATTGTTCTTTCATTTATTTATTTTTCTTTTTAATTGATTTAAGTTAGAAGATTTTTTTTTCTATTATACCTATTAATTTACTTTGTAAATACAATTATGTATATCTGAGACTCAAAAGCCCACATTTTTGTCCTTGTTGATAATTCTAAAGAGAATCGTCCCAGAATAAATAAAAAGATTATTATTATTGCTTCACTAACTTCCTAAATAGATGGCATTGTACCAAAGACTTAAATTAATTTTTTAAAAATAATATTGTTTATACACTTAGTATTTTTCACATGTTAGATTTTTTTTTTGTACTTTAGAAATAATAGAAAATTATTGTTCTAAATACAAAAGTGTTTTCAAAGTTATTATTTATTAAATATTTATAAAGAAATAATTATCATTCTAAGTTAATTAAGTCAGAAATTATTTGTATTCTATTACCTGATTATATCTATGTAACGTTTTCAGAGAAATATCACATTTTTTTGATTTTTCAACCATTGGATGAGAAACTTCACAACCTAATCCACTTGTTTTGTTGATTCGATCTACAGCAAGAATCTAAAACCATTATTAAAATTGATTAGGATTTTTTAAGCAATAGCATTAAATATAGGTTTATTAAATATAGGTCCATATTGAATATTGAAGAAGAATAACATTGTGTGGACTATTCAGAATTCACAACCTTTACAGCCTAAAAATGCAAATGCTATCTAATCTGCATCCGTTGAAATATATAACGAATAGAATGGGTTTTATACAGTAAGTTAGTCACATAATATTTTGAAAATCTATTTATTTATAAAATTTTATAGCCAGGGTATTGATAAAGAATTGCTTTACATAATACTGAAGAAGGTTTAAATAAAACTTAAAGGGCATCAGGAGCTTAAATATACATATGGGTTGAAACAAATCAGCCTGACGAGACATCCACAGCAATTTGGCTCGACCTGTGGTAAGGGAACCACTAATGCACTGCTGAGAATGTGTAGGGATGTACAGGTATATAATACTCACACTGTTTGACATATCATCAGCCTTCAACAGCATTTGGTGGCCTTGCGTACACTGGCGGCTAGAAGAATTCGACACTTCCAGCAACTTGTACTTCCTAGTAGGTAGTTACTTGAGTGACAGGAGAATAAAGATTAGAGGTAGATTCTACGAGGTTCGAGAGAAATATGGCTGTCCGCAGGGCTGTTCTAAGACCGGCTCTGAGGAAGCTTATATTTGACCAGTTGTCGGGAGAGGTAGAAAATGGAGGGTTCCCTGCCATGGCTTAGATGACCATGACCAGGCAGTTGTCCTGGCCAAAGATAGCAGAGCCATACTGAAGACATGAGCAAAGAGATGTGCCAGTCTTGTTTCGGAGTTGTGTGTGAGGCAAAAACTCTGTATGGCTGGCGCCAAAACACAGGCCATAGTCATGAGAGGCTCCATAGACAGGGCTCATTCTGTCAACCTTGAATTACAGGGAAAGAGAGTGAGATTGGGTGAAGAAGTTATGTATCTTGGAGTGAGGCTAAGAAGAAGATTGGACCTTACCCCTCACTTAGAGTAGATAAGGGAAATGGGCCAAGCAGGATAGGGGATGCGTTTTGGGGCCTCAGATACCCTGTCTTAGGTATCTTTAGGTACGTATCCCCTGCGTGGAGCAGAAACCTCACACAGCACCAGAAGAAGAGACTGGCTACCATTCAGTGCTTGGCTCTGTTGAGGGCCACAAATACGTATAAGATGGTGTCACATGAGGCAGCACAGGTGTTGACTGGAGCGGTGGCCCTGGACCTCGTCTTCAGGGAGGATACATTAAAGTACGATGTAAAGAGGTAGGGGCTTGAGGCCCTTCCCGAGAGACTCCAGCAAAAGGTCAGAGATAACCCAAAACAGTAGAAGAGGATCGTCTACTGTGGAGCAGGAAGGACTCCATCGAAGAATGGAATGAGTGGTGGGTTGCTTGCCAGAATGTGGCACAAGAAGAAGGTAGGTGAGGACCAGACGGATGCGGCGGACCAGGAGTGCTGGATGTCACGCCGGACAGATGCAGCGGACCAGGAGGGCTGGATGTTAACCCGGATAGATACAGACTAGGATGGTTGCAGAGTGCCAGAAGGGCTGGCATGCGATTCGACAAAGGATAAGGTGCGGCTCCATCAGTAAGGTACAAATCCATGGACCGAGCCGCACCACAGTTTAAACCTTAATAAAACAAAATTTATAATAAAGTACTTTATTGGCAGTATCGGGTATACGCATAACCAACGTATTAACTCCCTACTGCCTAAACCCCGAGGGCCAGAAATGGCGGGTATAGGCCAGAAAAAAAAAAGGGTTGAAACAAATAAAATGTCAGTTCCTAGGGCATGTAGCAAATAAAAGAAAAACAAACTTCAACAATATTATTTGTATTCAAAATAACCTTGATTAGCTTTGATAAATTTCTCTTAATATCCACAAAAGTATTTTAGCCATTGTTTAAAGAACCATTTCAGCTTTGATTCAATAAATTACAGAAATGTTAATTTTACCTCATTTTTACTTTGCTTTCGCATGACTCAAATTATAAATTAAAAAATGCACACAAAGAAATGGTAAATAGTTCGAGATAAATTAGGTGAATATGGTATAACATAATTTTCAAAACAAGTAATAAAACAAGCTAGTCAATTAAAATTAAAAAGTAGAAATCAAAGTTCTACCACATCCACGAGATTCATCTGATTTTTCGAACCAACTGCTATTTTTCAGAGTACATGACACATTTAAAACAAACAAAATACAATATTAAAACCTTAAAATGAGTAAAATTTCATTTTTTGATTCTAAGTTATAACCACAGAGTACACAATAACAAAGAGTTGGTATTTCAGCATCAAAAGAAGGTTAAAGCTTATTCCCCTGTTACATTAAAAAAAAAAATAATGATTTTTTTCTGAATTCAATATATAAAATCTAGTTTAGGAAAAGATTCGGTAAAGAAAGAGAAAAGAAATTCAGAGAGGTAGAGTAGAGAAAAAATGAAAAGTTAAAATGTCATACAAAGGGGAAAAAAAAATTAGGATTAAATGAGAAATGATAATTGTAATTCAAAATTAGTTTATTTTAAGATAATTAAATTTAATTTATATAAAGATGATGTAATTTAATGTATATAAAAATAATGCGTATTGTGAATAGAGATAAATGTTTGTAGTTTTGGGGGTGCCTGGAGTTTGGTTGTAACCAAATGGGGGGCTGATGAATATATTGGGTTGGCAAAGAAGTCCTTTCGGTTTTTTAGAGTGAAATAAAACTTAATGTACTATAGAAATAAAATTTATTTTAATCTACAATATATAATAATTATTTAATATGACTTTTTCCCATCTTTCCACTAACTGCATAATGGCATGTTCATAGAATGTCTGGAATTTATTGTTAAAAAACTGATCCAAGTGGTTTTTGATGTCCACTTCCTTTTGGAATTTGGATCCATTCATGGAGTTGTAGTCACTTGGAGCTAGGTTTGGTGAATAGGGAGAGTGGGACAAGATGCCCCATCCAATGATCAATAATTTATTGTGAGTAACCAATGAGGTGTAGGGCCTAGCATTGTCTTGGTGGAACACAACCATCACTCCTCAGGATATTCTCCAAATTTGATGTTACTATATCCGTTGGAAAGCTGAATTATTGCTCTTCAAAGCAGCATGATTAGTTTTTTTATTTAATGTCTACATAAGGAATAGAAAAACAAAAACTCCTGATAGGTTTTTATTTTTTATATCCATTTGTAGTTTGTTAACGAAGGTCCTGTTGATGTAATTTTGTGTAGTTTATGTGGCCCTAAATTCCTGCTAAATTTCTTGTAGACAGCTAAAGTCATATTGAAATTATTTTTAGTGATTTTTGAAAAAAAAAATCATGTGAGGGACCCAAACATTAAGCCTAGAAACATAGCCGAGCTTGAGAAAATGGTGACACATTTAGGGCCATAGCAATCTCTCGCATTGATTGGGAGGAGATTTTGATCAACAATGGCCTTAACATTACTCATATCAATTTCATGTGGGCGACCAGACCGTTGAGCATCATTGATGTCAAAATTTCCTGAATAAAATTTGGCAAACCAATTTTGACAGGTGCATTCGGTTAAGGCATCATCCCCATAAACACTGCAAATTTTTCTATTAGCTTCGGCAGTGCGCTTACCTTTTATAAAACAATACAACAAAATATGCTGATAATGAATGATATTTTCTTCCATATTCACAGTGCAACAGCAGACACAATACTAAGCTAGTTTCAATGGCGATAACTGTGGAGAGACGACTTTCAGGACACCACAGCAACTTAAGACAATACTTAAAATGCAACTGTGAAATGAATTATCGCCATTGAAGTGATTAACCGTAGTACCTTATGGTTTTCGAATTGGTGCAATTTGGCGGAAAATTTCCATAATCATTCCATTGACTGGACTAAATATATGAGTTCAAATGATAAATGCTCTGTTGTTTTCAAATTATTTTACATTATAATTGATAATAGTAATTGTTTTATTGTTATTCTTCTTTCTCTTCTCGGGCTTTACAGTCCAAGATGAACTTTTGTCTATCTAACAATGATTCGTCATCCTTCTCTGTCCATGGCCCATCTCTTCCAGTAGGTCATTCCAACTTTAGTAATGTCCTCTTCCATATCCTTAATCCAGCATTGACGTGGGCGTCCCGTCCCCTCTTTCTTTTTCCTAAGAACGTGTAGAACTTTTTTGGGCATTCTTTCATCTGGCATTCGCTCGGTATGACCCAGCCATCTAATTCTTCTAGATTTAATAAATCTTAGAATATTGTCATGCTATATCAAGTCATCCAATGCTTGGTTACACCTAATTATTTATGAATTGAAAAAGATTTAGTATCACTTTTGGCATAGCACTTTGATGAAAAAAAAAAAATTGTTTGTTGTTTTTATCCATTTTTTTTTCCATCTAAAAGATTGAATAAATTTTAAATGTATTTCATTTTTTATATTCCTCAATTTGTATATATGTATATCTTTTCCTATCTTAATCTCCGTATTTGTTTATAGTTTACAATAACCTTGCGAGTTCTCATTCAAAGTTCTTAAGTAAAATATATAAATCATTTATTTTCTTTTAATTAGTTTTTTTCTTTTTGTCGCTGCAATTGTTTTTTCTTAAAATTAATTTAATGCCCCTTCCTAATTATATTTATCTACTTATTCTTATTTTATATTTCTAATGCCAGGATAATGCAATATTGTGATCCCGTTGCTCATCTTCTCTCATTAATATATCTTTAATCTATGCATATCTTTTGTATGTTTTAACTGTTTATGTTTTAACATAAAAAGTTAATACTTTTTGTTTATTTACATTTGATATTTTTTCTTTTCTAGAGGTTTTGCTTTTTCTTTCAATGCATTTTTTTTTTGTTTGTTTGTTTTTTTCCAGTATAACTATAAGTATAGTAGAGAAGATTTTATTTTATTTTTTAGTTGTTTACATACTATTATTTAAGTTGTTGCTTATATTATTTGAATATTTATCAACTTAATTTTTGACCAGATATATATTTTTTCTTTTGTAACTGTTCATTATTGTTATTCTAAGGGGACATCATCCCAGAATAAAGTTTATTTTATATTTCTCTCTCTCTCTCTCTCTCTCTCTCTATATATATATATATATATATATATATATATATATATATATATATATATATATATATATAGCATTTCCAAGTCAATTTCAACCTTTTCCAAGTCAAATTCAACCTTTTCCAAATCAAATTAAACTTTTTCCAAGTCAAATTCAACCTTTTCCATTTCAAATTAAACCTTTTCCATTTCAAATTCAACCTTTTTTTATTTATTTAATTATCTTTAATTTTTCGATGCGTGGGTCTGTTATCGTATGAGTAGTTTTTTAAAATAACCTCCTTTTTAAGATTACGTGACTGCGTTTCGAATTATTTAAGTTTTTTTGACTTATTCGATATAAGGGTGTATTTTTATGTTTCCCGATCAGTAAATTTTTAAAATGACATCTATTTTATGTTTACGCCACTGTGTTTTGATTTATTTAAGTTTTTATAATTTATCCAATATAAAGGTCTACTTTTTTGTTTCCGGAGCCGTAGATTTTGAAAACGACCTCCATTTTAAGATTAGGCCACCGCGTTTCGACTTATTTGAGTTTTTCGGATATTTTTCATATGAGGGTGTATTTTTATGTATCCGGAGCTGTAGATTTTGAAAATGACCTCCATTTTAAGATTAGGCCACCGCGTTTTGACTTATTTGAGTTTTTCGGATATTTTTCATATGAGGGTGTATTTTTATGTATCCGGAGCTGTAGATTTTGAAAATGACCTCCATTTCAAGATTAGGCCACCGCGTTTCGACTTATTTGAGTTTTTCGGATATTTTTCATATGAGGGTGTATTTTTATGTTTCCGGAGCTATAGATTTTGAAAATGACCTCCATTTTATGATTACACCACTGCGTTTTGACTTATTTAAGTTTTTCGAATTTATCCAATATTAAGGTCTACTTTTATGTTTCTTGAGCCGTAGATTTTGAAAATGACCTCCATTTAATGATGACGCCATTGCATTTTGACTTATTTAAGTTTTTCGAATTTATCCAATTTAAAGGTCTACTTTTATGTTTTCGGAACCGTAGATTCTGAAAATGACCTCTATTTTATGATTACGCAACTGCGTTTCAACTTATCTAAATTTTTAGAATTTAACAAGTATAAAGGTCTAATTTTATGTTTCTGGAGCAGTAGATTTCCCCCATTTTGTAAATGACCCAATTTAAAGTTTATGCCACTGTTTTGGATTATAAACGTTTTTTTTTTTACTTTTTCGGTATAAGGATCTACTTATATGTTATCCGAGACGTATTGAAATTTTTCTAATCTTTAATATTTAAATTTATCTAATATTTAAGCTCCATTTTATGATTAAGCCGCTGCATCTTGATTAATTAGGCTTCATTTTGGATTTTTTCAATACAAAGTTTGATCAATATGTTTTCGAGTATGAATAAATAAATAAATATTATGAAGCTAAAGTAAAATTAACCACAGAATACAAACTAAAATGCCGAAATGCAACTGGTAATAAATTTAACCTTCCATATTCAGATTTTTCAGCTAATTGTTCGAAATCTAATAATTTTGTGACGGGAGACCACAACATTATAAAAGATAACTAAAATTAAATTAAAAATGAGACAATACATATTTTATTTATTTTGATTAGATATTTTTATTTATTTATTGAAAAATAAATTAATCCGTCGTATTATGTTTTTTATTCGAAGGAAAAATAAAAAACACTTAACAAAACCGAAACACAGTGGCCTAATCTTAAAATGTAAGTCGTTTTAAAAACTAAGACTCCGGCATCATAAAAGTAGACCTTTAAATTGGATAACTTCGAAAAACTTGAATAAGCCGAAACGCAATGGCGTAATCTTAAAATGGAGGTCATTTTCAAAATCTACGACTCCGGAAACATAAGAATACACTCTTTTATGATAAAAATTTGAAACACTTAAAGAAATCGAAATGCGGTGGCCTAATCTTAAAATGGAGGTCGTTTTCAAAATCTACGGCTCCGGAAACATAAGAATACATCCTCATATGAAAAAAATCCGAAAAACTCAAAGAAATTGAAATGCGGTGGCCTAATCTTAAAATGGAGGTCGTTTTCAAAATCTACGGCTCCGGAAACATAAGAATACATCCTCATATGAAAAAAATCCGAAAAACTCAAATAAGTCGAAACGCGGTGGCCTAATCTTAAAATGGAGGTCATTTTCAAAATCTACAGCTCCGGAAACATAAAAATACACCCTTATATGAAAAATATCCGAAAAACTCAAATAAGTCGAAACGCGGTGGCCTAATCTTAAAATGAAGGTCGTTTTCAAAATCTACGGCTCCGGAAACATAAAAGTAGACCTTTATATTGGATAAATTAAAAAAACTTAAATAAGTCAAAACGCGGTGGCCTAATCTTAAAATGGAGGCCATTTTCAAAATATACGGCTCCAGAAACATAAGAATACATCCTAATATCGAATAAGTCAAAAAAACTTAAATAATTCGAAACGCAGTCACGTAATCTTAAAATGGAGGTTATTTTAAAAACTAGTTACAGGACAGCATAATACTAGTCCCTAATAAATCCAAATAGGAACAATAAATCGATATCCGTAAGTGAAAATTGTACTTAGGAGAGCATAATAATTGACTTTCATATTGGAGGGTGGGGAGGGGATGGCCATTATTTTAAAAAAAATATAAAATTTACAAAACATTAATTTGAAATGAAAACGGTTGAATTTGAATTGGAAAAGGTTTGATTTGAAATGGAAATGGTTGAATTGACTTGGAAAAAGTTTGATTTGATCTGGAAAAGGTTGAATTTGACTTGGAAAAGGTTGAATTTGACTTGGAAATAATTAAATATCCCATAGAAATATCACACTGAAAAAATCTAAAATGTTAAAATAAATGGATATGTAACTGCGTAATCAATTTTTTTTTTGTATTTTTTAAAAGCTATGCCGTCGATAATATAGTAAATGGCCTTCATTTAGAAAAAAATCGAAAATTGACAAAAATTCTAAAGTTGAATTTGAAATGGAAAAGGTTGAATTTGACTTGGAAAAGGTTGAATTTGAAATGGAAAAGGTTTAATTTGACTTGGAAAAGGTTGAATTTGATTTGGAAAAGGTTGAAATTGACTTGGAAATGCTATATATATATATATATATATATATATATATATATATATATATATATATATATATATATATATATATATATATATATATATATATATATATATTTACAACTTTTCTTTCACATATATATATATATATATATATGTGTAAGAAAAAAAAAACTGCAAAAAATTGTATTGAAACTTCGTCTACCAGCATGCCACATAAAACAATACTGATGATTGAAAAAAAACAAAACAAAACAAAAAACACAAAATGTTATGATATTATAAAATATCTCTTTTCAAAGTAATTCTCATACTTGCATTAAATTATTGGACATTTATTAAAATATATATTGTTATTTTATTGAAAACTTGTTGATCTGCAGCAGACAACAATAAATCTGTTGACAGGGTGATCGGCAGTAAAGGTTATGTTAGACATGGGCGAAGAAAATTTTGCTTCCCGGTGCAAAATCTATGTTGGGAACCCTTGGTTTTGGGTGTGCCAGGGGTAAATATCATTAATTGAGGGAGGAATAGTCCACCAAAAATGTATTTCAGTGCCTCCCAACCACATCTACCAATCTTAAACAATTGTTGACAGGAGATTTTTTTAAAATTTTCTAAGAAAACCATTTTTAATATTTTTTCCCATAAATATTCTAGTATTTCAAGACTTACATTCCATTAATATTTAGGTTGAGAGGTCACAAAATGTTAGAGAACTAGATAAACAATACGTAGCTAAATTCATGTGTTAAATAAATCACTTACAGGTTGTGAGATTGCTCCTTCATTTCTTTTACCAAGAGTTTCACCTTCTTTCCAACCCATCTTTGATAGTAGAGCATATCCCTTATTTCTTTTACATATAGGTCTAAAAATATAAGGAGAAATAAGTATACATTAACTAATAAATTTCTTTCTGAAGTACATTATACATTTACCTCCTTAAATGTTTTTCTAGTGAAAGGATTTTCAGAGATAAAATTTGTAATTTGTCAATATTCTACATTTTAATCTTTCGATATTAAAATTCAAGGTGAACAAACCTAATATTTATAAATCTTTCTATAACAAAAACAAAGCATTTTCTACTTTCTTTGTTTGAAATAATTTTTATTATGAATTGCTTGATATTATTGAAGACTCCAAAAAAAAAAGTCTGAAGTCTTTCAAATATAATTCAGTAAACAACTAACCAATGTTTCTCAGTCATTATCAGGATAGAAAGAGATAAGATAATACATGCACCAGAGACAGTACATCATAAACTATATATAAAAAAACGGCTCATCAAGTAGAGATAAAACCAATCCAAAACATACCAACAAACATAAGAGTTACAGTACAATACTGCAGGATTGTCTACATTTACATAATCTTGTCTTTTTCTGTACTGATGATGCTTCAATTGCTCAAATGTTGACTGATTATTTACATAAATCTAATATCTACATGTATTTCAGGGATACAAGGCTTTGTTTCTGAGATCTTCCAATAATGTCTTAACAATAATTTCTGTCTATTTCTTCAATTGTTTGCTCTCTTGAATTAATGAATATCTTGATTTGTTTAAATCTTATATTTTAGTGTCAATGTTAATTAAGTAATCCAGTTTCAAATTATGGGTGATAAATATACAGGACACAGTCTTTTTAAATTTTTCTATTTATGCCAAAGTTTCAACCCAAACATTTGGGTCATCTTCACGACTGAAATTTTTTTAAATACAATCAGAGATATAATAGTATACGACCAATAATGATAAATAATAAACTATTCTGATTGATGGTACATGAATCTGAACTAATATTGCAATACACATATTAAAAATGAAGTATGTAAATAGTTATACAAACCAAAAATTAAAAAATAATGTATATAATCTATTTATACAAATTTGTAATAGTTTCTCTTACTAACCGTGGCTTTGAGCACTGAGGGTGTCCAAGTACTGACACATTGGGTAGGTAAGTGAAAAGGTCTGGGGGGGGGGATCAGATTTCCTAATTGTCCTTTTTCAGATAGCAAAAGGTAGGTAAACATACTGAGAGGGGAAGGGAGGTAACATTTGTGTTTGTAGAATGTACATAATTTGCTGAATAAATATTTCAGATGTGTACTATATTTGGTTGTTTCTTATGGTTACAGAAATGTGACTATTGGCTAGTAATGAAATGAACATAAGCAAGAGGTGCCAATCAATATAAATATAACTTAGTTTGATTAAAAGTATACAATGGTTAGACAAATAATTTTCATAATAAAGACAATTTTAATGGATTAAAATGATACGTAGGACAATATATTATACAATATTTTAAGAATAACAATATTACTATATCATACTATAAGTTTGTATCATATTAAGGATTACATAGTTTTTGTTGTATAAGTATAAACATATCTGTGCCTGTTTATAGTATATATTTATATTGAGAATGGACATTATATATGCATATATACATACACACACACACACACACACACACATATGTGTATATATATATATAAAATAACCTTAGGAGCAATTACTTATGTAAGTTGATGGGGAAAGATGAAAAATAAAATTATAAATGATTATAGAGTATTGTTTTAGGAGGCAGAAAATATTCGAATATGTATTGCAGATCTTTTCTTTGTCTACTTTGTGGTTTACCGGATTATTTTTTTCCAAATTAATGAATACAGATTACGAAAGTAGTCGTTTTTGGTGATTGGGAACTGTGGCAAGTATGGTTGGGTTTTCAAAATAAAAAGTGTGGTTGAGGGTTATGTCGTGTTCTGCTAGTTTTGAGGCGAACGGGTTTTGTGTAGAGATGCTATATTTGTGTTGATAGATTCATTTTTTAAAAATAGTTTTTAGTTTCTCCTATATAAGAAGAATTGCAGTTTGGGCTAGAGCATGTGATATGGTATACAATATTTGATTGTTGTAGGAGCGGAACAGGATCGTTGAGTTTGCTGTATAGATTTCTTAATTTACTGTTATTTTTGAAAACTATTTGTAGATGGGGAAATTCGGAAGTTATAGCTTTTTTTATTTTTTGAGATATTTAATTGACAGGGATGTATGGAATGGATCTGTATTGGCGAATCGTGGTGGGAGACTGAGAGCAGTTTGTGAGAGACTGGTGAAGATGGGGTTTGGATTGATTTTTGATCAAGTTTTTTATAATGTGATCAGGAAAGGCGTTGGATTTCGGGAACTTATGTAGTTTGGTTAGGTTGTTGTTGTGGAATTGCGGGTCGGTTAATGTTAGACTGTGTTGTATCAGGTTTTTAGCTACACTGATTTTTCGGTGGTAAGGGTGTTGGGAAAAATAGTTTAGGAGACAGCCTGAGTAGGTAGGTTTGGTGTACCAATTGATGGATAAGGTATTATCATTATTTCTGGAAATGAGGAGATCAAGAAATGGGAGGGAATTATTTGATTTTATTTCAATGATAAAACGGAGTCAATGGTGGTATGAGTTGAATGCAGAAAGTATGTTTGGAATAGCGTGGGGGTTTGAGGATTAATAAAAAGTCGTCAACATATTTTTTAATGAAAAAACTATCATTAGGAAATTTAGGTAGTATCGAATCAATTAGGTTGTTAAGAACAATACTAGAGAGGTCTGGTGCAAGACAATTAGCCATCGCCAAGCCGGAAGTTTTAAAATTTTATTTTTCATCTTTCCCCATTTCCCCATCAACTTACATAGGTAATTACTCCTAAGGTTATTTTATATATATATTTAAACTTAACTATTTATTGGGAATAAGGTCATTTAATTATTATTTAATAAACTATTGAATGTTCATTTCTTCTGTTTATTGACGTTTCGATCCCGGTATTTTCTTTTTATTAGTCAACCATGGGATCCTCTTCAAAGCTAGAATTTTAAAAAATAGAGCTTCAATCAGGCCAGGGACACACCAACAGTCTCAGCACCGTCCACTAGCACATATATTAAGCTACTCTACTCTAGGAGTATTAAGGATAAGTTGTAAATATATATATATATGTATATGTATATGTATATATATATATATATATATACATATATATGTGTGTGTGTGTGTGTGTGTATATGTATATATATGCATATATAATGTCCATTCTCAATATAAATATAGCATTTCCAAGTCAATTTAAACCTTTTCTAAGTCAAATTCAACCTTTTCCAAATCAAATTAAACTTTTTCCAAGTCAAATTCAACCTTTTCCATTTCAAATTAAACCTTTTCCATTTCAAATTCAACATTTTTTAATTTATTTAATTATCTTTAATTTTTCGATGTGTGGGTCTGTTATGGTATGAGTAGTTTTTGAAAATAACCTCCATTTTAAGATTACGTGACTGAGTTTCGACTTGTTTAAGTTTTTCGGATTTTTTTCATATGAGGATGTATTCTTATGTTTCTGGAGCCGTATATTTTGAAAATCGCCTCCATTTTAAGATTAGGCCACCGCGTTTTGACTTATTTAAGTTTTTTTAATTTATCCAATATAAAGGTCTACTTTTATGTTTCCGGGAGGTGGCATAATCTTAAAATGGAGGTCGTTTTCAAAATCCACGGCTCCGGAAACAAAAGAATACAATCTCATATGAAAAAAATCCGAAAAACTAAAAGAAATCGAAACGCAGTGGCCTAATCTTAAAACGGAGGTCGTTTTCAAAATCCACGGCTCCGAAAAACATAAGAATACAACCTCATATGAAAAAAAACCGAAAAACTAAAAGAAATCGAAACGCGGTGGCCTAATCTTAAAATGGAGGTAATTTTCAAAATCTAAGGCTCTGGAAACATAAGAATACACCCTTTTATGAAAAAAATTCAAAACACTCAAAGAAATCGAAACGCGGTAGCCTAATCATAAAATGGAGGGCGTTTTCAAAATCTACCGTTCCGGAAACATAAAAGTAGACCTTTGTATTGGATAAATTAAAAAAACTTAAATAAGTCAAAACGCGGTGGCCTAATCTTAAAATGGAGGCCATTTTCAAAATATACGGCTCCAGAAACATAAGAATACATCCTCATATGAAAAAAATCCGAAAAACTTAAACAAGTCGAAACGCGTTGGCCTAATCTTAAAATGGAGGTTATTTTAAAAACTAGTTACAGGACAGCATAATACTAGTCCCTAATAAATCCAAATAGGAACAATAAATCGATATCCGTAAGTGAAAATTGTACTTAGGAGAGCATAATAATTGACTTTCATATTGGAGGGTGGGGAGGGGATGGCCATTATTTTAAAAAAAATATAAAATTTACAAAACATTAATTTGAAATGAAAACGGTTGAATTTGAATTGGAAAAGGTTTAATTTGAAATGGAAATGGTTGAATTTGACTTAGAAAAAGTTTAATTTGATCTGGAAAAGGTTGAATTTGACTTGGAAATAATTAAATATGACATAGAAATATTACACTGAAAAAATCTAAAATGTTAAAATAAATGGATATGCAACCGCGTTATCAAAATTTTTTTTGTATTTTTCGAAAGCTATGCCTTCGATAATATAGTAAGTGGCCTTCATTAAGAAAAAAATTGAAAATTGACAAAAATTCGAAAGTCGAATTTGAAATGGAAAAGGTTGAATTTGACTTGGACAAGATTTAATTTGAAATGGAAAAGGTTTAATTTGACTTGGAAAAGGTTGAATTTGATTTGGAAAAGGTTGAAATTGACTTGGAAATGCTATATATACTATAAACAGGCACAGATATGTTTATACTTATACAACAAAAACTATGTAATCCTTAATATGATACAAACTTATAGTATGATATAGTAATATTGTTATTCTTAAAATATTGTATAATATATTGTCCTACGTATCATTTTAATCCATTAAAATTGTCTTTATTATGAAAATTATTTGTCTAACCATTGTATACTTTTAATCAAACTAAGTTATATTTATATTGATTGGCACCTCTTGCTTATGTTCATTTCATTATTAGCCAATAGTCACATTTCTGTAACCATAAGAAACAACCAAATATTTGCTGAATAAATATTTCAGATGTGTACTATATTTGGTTGTTTCTTATGCCAAAGTTTCAGCCCAAACATTTGGGTCATCTTCACGACTGAAATTTTTTTAAATACAATCAGAGATATAATAGTATACGACCAATAATGATAAATAATAAACTATTCTGATTGATGGTACATGAATCTGAACTAATATTGCAATACACATATTAAAAATGAAGTATGTAAATAATTATACAAACTAAAAATTAAAAAATAATGTATATACATACATAATGTGACCCAAATAATGTTTGGGTTGAAACTTTGGCATAAATAAAAAAAAATTAAAAAAGACTGCGTCCTGAATATTTATCATCCATGATATGTAAAACAGTTGACTAACTTCCTTCAACAGTTTCAAATTATATAAAGTATCTTTTTGCGACTTACTGATATGCAATATTTTTTTAATACTGTCAAGTATGATTTTAATTTAATTTATAATAACAGTTTGAAACCAATCAATTTTTAGTTCAAATGGTAAAAACATTAATAAAGCCTTAAAGACAGTGGAGGTGAAAGAATTTTGATAACAGCTACCTATAAATCCATGATCAATTACAAAGAAACCTATAATAAACCTTAATTTGGCAGTTAATGAACCACTTGGGGGTGAACAAAATGGTAAAAAATAAGTTCCATCTGAAATGAATGATTGCCTACAAAATCATCACCATCAATTATTAAATACAAGGTACTTGACTCTGGACTGACTCTTATGTAAGAAACTGGATACTTTGGACTAAAACTCAATTGAAACTATTTCCATGGTACGTCTTTCAAATAAACTAAAAAAAAAATCAGTTTAATTGATTGCAAAAGATTCAATATAGCCTAAACAATTAAAAGTTTTGCATCTTTAATGGTAGTTGCTCGAAAAAAACTTGCCTGGAAAGCATACCTTCAAGATAGAAATGAGGAAAAGCTACAAAACTACCAAACAGCCAGGAATGAATGCAAGATAGACGTTAGCCAGGCCAAGAAACGCTCGTAGGAGGATTTCTATAAAAACTTATTGAAGACCAACGTGAATCCATACGAACTTTTTGGTGAAAAATTAAATTTTTAAGAGGAAAAAAAAATAAGCACGTCAGAAATATAAAAGATAGCTGTGGATCCCTGCTTACTGACAAGAAAAGTTTCTGAACAGATGGAAACAACATTTTCAGGAACAATTCTCTGAAAATCCAGAAATACGTCACTGCCAAGAACGAGAGCCCATTACTCTAGAAAGCCTAGAGGTAATAGAAAAAGAAGAGATAGAAGATGCAATCCAGACTCTAAAAGCAGGAAAGGCATGGTGGACATGAACTCTTTAAAGCCGTTCAAAAGCTTAAAGTAAGATTACATCTACTTAGGTACCATAATTACTAATTCTGGTAAGATAGATGCTGAGATTTCATATAGAATATCTAAGGCGAATCAAGCATACCACCAGATCACTAACAGTATCCTCAGCTGCAGCGAAGTAGATAAAAATACCAAGATGCACGTCTATAAGTCAGTGTACCTATCTATTCTCACCTACGGCGGAGAAAGCTGGACTATGTTGGACAAACATTATATTTGCATATCAGCAGCGGAAATGCGGTTCCTACATAGATCGATGGGATAAACTAGGAGGGATCACTTTAGAAATGAAACTATCAGAGAACAGCTGGAAATGCCTGAACCCAAAACCACCTTGGAGAACAGGCAACTAAAGTGGTTTGGACATGTCTGCCGTATGAATGAGCACAAGGACCCGATAAAGATATTAGAGGCTTGACTCACAGAGAAGAGACCAGGAGGGCATCCCAGAGAGTCATATCAGGAGTTCACACAGAGGATCGGAGGTAGAAGAGGCAAATCCTTCAACCAAATGAGGCGGTTAAGCAGAGACCGCGAAGAGTGGCTGCGCTGGATAGAGGCTCCTCGACGCTAGAAATGACATTGTGAGGAAGATAAAGAAGAAGCATCTTTAATGGGACAAAACAACAGTAAATTAGTATGATCTAGCTTGGTGTTCATTTTAACCACAGAGCTTAGCTGATGAGGTTCAGAAATCACAAAACAGTTACCAGATTTTCAAGCCTACCAAAATCATTTAAGAATCAATAAGGTAACACAAAATGCAGAGAATCATAAAAACGTCGTAGGGTCAAAGTAGTCCCAAGCTAGGGCACATTTCTTCTTGAAATAAAACTCCATCATTATATGATTGTACAAGAAATAATTAAAAGTATACATTTGGGATAGTTAAAAGAAAAAAAAACAAATTGTAGATATGCTAATTATTATGTAGGTTCATAAATAACTTTAAATGTAGCTACATAGAATTTATAGAAGATATCTACTAACTAAGAGTCATCCGGAAAACAAGATTTTGCTTTCACTAGAGTGGGGTAGCTCAGTGGTAGGCACTGAGCTTCCAATGCAAAGGTCCCGAGTTCAAACCCCGGCTCATGGCAGAAAATTTATTTATCTGTTTCATTGGCCGTGGGGCGACCTTGAGTCAGGAGTCCCTCCTGGGGCACACCTAGCCTCTATAAAGTGGGTACCCTTAATTAAATAATTAATTAGGGGGGAAAACCTGGCGGTTGAGCGTGATCTCAGTCAAATCACCTCCTTGCACAACCATGGACCTAGAAACAGTGCTTTCCCTAAATAGTACTGAACCCCAGACCCTTTATGGGTTGTAGTGTTACAGGCAGGCAGGTAGCTACATAGAATTTATAGAAGATATCTACTAACTAAGAGTCATCCGGAAAACAAGATTTTGCTTTCACTAGAGAAATAAGAGTTGTCTTTTTCTTCAGAACTGTTTTTTGTAGTTTGGATTACATTAAACTGTATCTACAGATTTTCGAAATAAAAAAGTAAAAGAGTGTACATTCTTCATGTGATTCTTTGGGAATTTAAACCAGTAATAGTGCTAAAGCAACAGCTGAAAAAATATAGTTCTATCGGGAGAAAGAAAGATAACGGATCAGGCAGTCAGAAATAACTTTGCCAAATTCTATTCTGAACACAGGGCTAAAATTTAAACCAAAGGTCTTCCTTTCAACATAGGAACATCCTAAAGATAATATTGAAGCAAAATCCTCTTCAAATAACAGATATTACAGAAAAGCTAGTACATCACAATCAACTGTTAGACAAAAAAAAAGAAAGAAAAAAAAAAAGAAAAAAAATATATATATATATAAAATTTCACAGAAAAGACAATAGTAGGATAAAGATCAACCCTATTGCTCTTGCCCTTGGTTAACATATTTTAGGTTGTATTTGCAGTATGGAATTGAGCTGTTCAATATAAAAAACTGCTAAATCACTGTACAGAGTTACGCACCAACACTGCATGTTTTTTCCTTCTGCATATATACCTACATAAAGTAGATAGTTAACAACAATAAATTTTATGTAGCTCCATTGGAAGTTATTTAAAGCAGAATGTATTATATGTAATCCAAATTTTAATTTTAACATCTAACAAAAACTAAAAGATTTATAATTAGGTATTCACTCATTAACAGAAGAAGTTTCTGTTTTTTCTGAAGAATGTGAGGAGCCAACTTGTTTTCGCCGCACTTCTGCTCTATCTTCATAACCTTCAGGTAGCTTCGTGGTTGATAAATGACTTAATCCAAATTTCTTTCTGATTGATAATGCTTCTATTTGATGTTTTTCTTTAAGGGTTTTATCATTTTCAAAATCATTAATAGGTCCTAGAAATACAAAATTTTATGTCCATTTAATAATTAAAGAATATACAATAAAAATAAACTAACATTTTTAACAATAAAATTATGTTTGACAAAACACAAATTCGTTGCAAATTTACTATATAATAATTCAATAATTTTATTTTTAATGGGTAAGGGAATAATTTAACAAGGGTCAAATGCAATTACCAAATTGTAAAATTTTTCTAACATGTATAAAAAATAAAATAGAAGCCAGTGAGCAAAATTTGACTTAAATTATATATAGCTAAAACTTTTTAGACAACTTCATATTCAAGGCATACAAAAATAGACTGGCCAAAAAATTATGTATTATATTCACACTTCCAACCACTTCATCAGTAATGGTCACAATGTTGGAGCAATAGGTGCACCCCCTTCACCATGCAACGCATAATTATAAAATTTCTTGCTTGTGAAAGAGTTTAAGTGATGGGAGCTTTCTGGAGATTGACTGCACAGTTTGGTGGTAAAACATTGTCATGGACTTGTGTGTCAGGCTGGCATAAAGAGTTCAAGGAGGACAAGAATGCCAATTGAATTATTCATTATACCTATTGTCCTGTAATTCCTATTTGTTTGGACCTCTTGAATAAGTTTTAAGAGGGCAATGCTTTGAAGATACAAGGGCGTGGAGAGATTTGTGCACAATTGGCTCCTGATGGAACCAGCTTGATTCTACGATGCTGCAATAAAAAACCTTCCTTCTTTGGGGGAAAATTTATTTCTAAAGCAAGAAAATATGTGGGAAAATAAAGTATAATTGCCTTTTGTTTTTCAATGCATGATTTAAAAAAAATCCCATTTATGCTTGAATATGATAAGGTGTGGAAAACTGATTATACGATTTATTACCTGGAACGTATGGGGTTTGAATGGAAAGGAGTGTGAAATTCTGGACGAAGGGCCAAAGTGGATATACTTGGCATCACCGAAACAAAGAAGAAAGGAAAAGGCTAACTGAAAATCAAGGACTACACTGTTCTGTTCTTGGAGTCAGCGAGAAAGAGAGAGCAGCCAGCGGAGTAGGATTCATGTATCATAAAGATCTTGAATCAGGAATCAAACTCTGGAAATTTGTGAGTGATCAAATCATTCCTCCTAGACATTGTGCGTTTTTCGTCATTGTTGGCAGTTTATTTACTAACGATGCTTGATTTTCACCTTTAGTTTGAACAATTTGAAAAAAATTAACTTTACTGGTATTTTTTATTGCCAATGCCAATTATTTTTAAAAAATGTTTGATATTTTATTATTTTCTGACTATACAGCTTCAATAAAAAACTAATTATGATGAAATTAAGCCAACTGCTGAATCTCAGTGACCAAAAAACTAACTTAATCCGCCATGTTTGGAAGCCATTTTAGGAATATTGTTTTTGTTTTTTAAATATATAGTTAAAGAAACACAACGATATGCAATTTATGGTGATGTGGGGGGGAAGGAGCACAGGAGGGGATCTGGCCCACGGACATTGTAACATATTTAGTATAGTTTAAAAATTTATAGTGTGGGTTTTGTCTAAAATGTGCTGCTTTATGGATAAAATGGGGGAAAATTGAACAAAGAGCACTGTATTTCACACCAGTTAAACTTGTCTATTTCATATACCTAATAGGTATGTTAACAAGTACATTAGAGGAACTGAATGAAATCCATAATTTCGGAATAATAAAAGGACAAAGAAATAAAAAAAATCTGAATAAACAGAAAACATTTTCAGTTTAATTGCTTCTTGCTGGTATATACAGGTTTTCTTCACAACCTGAACTTGATGTGTGATAAAGCAACATATTTATCATTAAAAAACTATTATCTTAAGTCAACTACAATATGCATAAGAGCTTGTCTCTGTACTTTATTTATAGAAACTGGAAACAACCTTTATGGTAAGATGTGATAGCCTAATTCCCTGTTTTTCTAAATGATGTTTATGTATATTGCTCAGTTTCTATGGGTTGTAGCTTGATATAATAAGCCTTCCTCAATAAACAGTCTATCCAACACACACAAAAAAAAAACACAATCAGATTTGTAGTTTCTGAAATTAGCAAGTCCAAACAAACTCTTCAGCTTTATGCATTGGTATATATTTAAAACACTAACACTAATTATAAAATACATGATTAATTGTAAAATTAGTGAAAACCTGGTAGTTTTTATTTAATGCTAAAACTTCTTGGGAGGGGGGGAGGAGGGCGTGTCCTTCTATGTATAGACATAAGTATTATTTTATTTTGCTGAGTTGTTTCTTCTTTTTTTATTTAGTACTTCTTTTCATTGTGATTGGCTGCATTTGTGCAATGATCAATATTTTGTCATTATTAATAAGAGCCAAATGTGATTCCAACCAAAATATTAAAACAACAATGTAAAATTAGGATTAAAAAGGATCAATTATAAAACAAACATGTAGTGGATTGAAATTACTTGTAACACTCTTTCTAATATTCAGATCAAGGATTTCAGTAGCTTGAAACCTTTTCAGGAAAACATAAATCATTTTAAATAGAAAAAAGTAATCTAAATTGGTCAAGTAGTTTTTTAGTTAGTGGCTACAAATAAAAAAATGGGCTGTCCTTTTTTATAATAATATGACATATTTAAATATTTTTTAAGTGTAATTCCGTAACTGACAATTATATTTTATGTGAAACTGCAACTTTGAAGTATTTCTCCCATTATTGATTGACATAATACAATATAGTTATAATTTTATTTCTAGCCTACAATATACTTTTCCTTGTCGTATCGTATACACATACCATCTCTCTCTCTCTCTCTTTCAGCTTCTCCACAGAATATGGCGTCTTCGTCTATCTTTGTAATAACATGTCTGAAGTTGATATAATAAATTCTATCCAATTTGATATTAACATCTTAATCATTCATAGTGCACCAGGCTACCCATTTATTAATTTACTACATTTGATTTACTTCAGATAATCTTTGAGATCTTATTATCCTCTAAATTTGGACATTCATTAGAGTGATAAATAATTTTATAATATATGAATATAAAGGATCAATCACTAAGAATACACAAATCATAAGAAATAACCTGAATTCTAATATATATATATATATATATATATATATATATATATATATATATATATATATATATATATAACATATATTAAATGTTGAACTTATCACTAACTACACTGCCCGACAAAATTAAAGGGTCACCTACAAATTTCTGTATAGTTTTTTGATAATAAAAACAATAAATATTTCTCTGGTACCAGAATGGAATTAGTGTAATCTTTTATCAATTGTATCCTCAAACTGTAAACATTAATCACTCCTTGGGATTAAAAAGTTAACTTAAGCACATTTTACGGATTCTTGCTCATAGTTCTGCATTAGTTTTGAATATGTACACCATTTCAACTACCTTAAACCATTTTTTAGACAACAATTTTTGGTTGTGAAGTAATTTAGGACATTTTGATGGCAAACAAAAGGGAATTAACCAAATAGGAATCGTTAAGTGTTCTTATACAAGGACACATTACACAGAGGCTTCATTGGTCACAATCCGTGATTTACAGAGTGATAATTATGTTTGAGAGACTGAATGAAGGGCACATTAGAAGGGGGCAAAGTCCTCCAAGATCAACTTCTGGGCAAAACGACAGATTTTTACAAACTCAAGCTCTTCGAGATCTCCATTCAACAGGAAACAGTCAACGTTATCTCCGCCAGCGGTTTAGGAGCGTGTAAATTTCAGAGCGAAAAGTGAGAAGACGACTTAACGAGTTTTTACATCCCTTTCTCCAACAACTGGACCTCGGCTTTCCAGGGAGCACTAAATTCAACGCTTGAGGTTTGGTCAGGAACATCAAAACTGGACTTGGGAAGAGCGGAGCCATGTATTATTCATTGATGAGTCCATATTTACCCTAAGGTCTCCAGATGGACGCGAAAGAGTGTTGAGGAGGCGGGGAGAGAGGTATGCTCCTGGTAATCTTTACCAAAGGGTAGCTCTTCATTCACTTCCAAGCAGGAATTTGATCGTGTTAATAGAATCCAGTTAACTTCCGCCATCAAGGAGTTTGGTATACCCTTAAAATTAATTAATTTAATTAAAATGACATTGTTCCACTGAAGGGGGAAAGTTCTTATTGGCAATAGAATGAGCAACAAATTCCATCTCAACAGTGGAGTTTGACAAGTTGATGTGCTTTGTCGGCCATATTGTTCAACTTAACTCTGCATAAAGCCCTAAAAACAATTGAACGAAGAGGAAGTTTGGGTCCAGATTGTGTGGTGCATTAGAAATAACCAGGAGCTGGAAGACACAAAAAGACATAAAAATATATTATGCTTCATGAAATCACAAATAGCTGACTCGGTCAGGTGCAGAGAATGGAAGATGATAGGATGACAAGGAAAATAATGGGGAGAAACATGTCCGGGAAAATACAAAGAGGACACCAAAGGAGACTATGGCTGGATAACATAGAGGAAGATCTGGCAAGGATTGAAATTACTGGATGAAATCAGCTGGTAATGAATTGGGATACATGGAATCAAATTGATCAAATTGGGAGGGCAAAGTCAACCTTGGACTGTAGGGCCGGCGAAGTAAGAAAAAAGAATTTTATTGGAAGAGTGAAAAAAATCCTGGAAGAAGATGTAAGGAATTTGGTGGGAGGAATGAAAAGGAGTATGTTAGCAATGATCAGAGCTAGAGGGGAAACCATTCCAAAAAATGCATTTTTTTTTTTGTTATTTATTTGCTCATTAAAATTCAGTAAAATTAAAATATTGAGGCGATCCTTTAATTTTGATTGGCAGAATATATATAAAAATTTTAAAAAAATTAAATTTGTTAAAATTATTAACAAACCTTTCATGATACTACTGGCAGCAGTACAGTCTGGACATATTTCATCTTGTGGGTGAATGTGGCATAGTAAATCTGTACGACCAACAGTAATTACACTTCCATGAGAGATGGTAGCAGGTAAACTTTCAACTAAAGATTCTGAAAGTCTTTTGCCATTTACATATGTTCCATTTTTGCTTCCCAAATCAATTAACTCATAAATATACAGTCTACCTTTCTTCACATATTGAAATTTACAATGCATCTGAAAATAAATGATGAGTAACCAGCATAATTCATTATATAGAATAGAATAGAATAGAATAATCAACTTTATTCTGGGACAAAGTCCCTTAAGAATAACAATATTGATAATAGAAATTAATATTACATCTGGCGAAAATACATATTACAATTAAAACTAAAACATAAGTAATAAGAAAAGTATTTACAGATATGTTAAAGAAAAAAAGATGAGCAATAAGGTCATAATACTGCAAAACAGTTGCTACAAACAACAAAGTATGAAATAACTAAATGAAATTGAAAAAGAACGATAAATTACTTTTGTTGTCAAACCATTGTAGTAATGAAAAAAATAATAATAAAAAGTAAATAAATATTTACAATAATTGATTTACATCTGTACCTTAATATGTTCAATATAAAAGATAGTTAAATATAAAATAATTTGATAATTAATTAAAGAAGAAATAAGAGATCGTAACGGAGAATAGTTGCAATTGATCGCACCCGAGCTGAATAAAATATTATAACAGGCTTCTATATGTAACATGAGCTTAATATAAGATTTTTTTTGTGAGATAATATATAATTTTAAAACTTTTGTTTCCTAAATCTAATAACAACATAGGTTGAAACGTAGGCTATAAATAAATATAAGATTATAAACAGGGTGATATTCCTTAAATTCATCATACCATCATAGAAAAATAAACATTTTTAGTCATGGCTGTTGTGAAGGTAATTCAGAAGATTTCCTACATTTCAAGGAAATTTAATTACTTATTTATGTTAATGCTGTATATTTATATTTATGTTAATTACTTACTACATTATTTCCTGCATTTCAAGGAAATGTAATTAATCAATCTAATTACATATTATTATTATCTATCCAAAAATTGAAACAAAAAAAAAAAATATAATTACCTCCCTTCTATAAGTTATTAAAAAAAAAAACTGATAAATATATGGTGAAGCATTGACAACAATCAAAATTAATTAATAGGGAAACAATCATAGTTCATCAAATATTCTTTTATCTATTTCAAGCAATGATAGTAGTAAAAAAAATATTATAAATGATTATTTACAATTTTAAAAATTATTAACAACATACCTTACTGACCAACTGATCTGGAATTAACACATCATGGTCTCCTTCTCTACCTAGCGTCCCACCTGTGCATGTCACTATAAAAAGTGTGCCACAGGCAAGGTCAGGCAATGTGGAAGACATTACTACTACTCGAATGCAAGGTGCAAAATGTTTTGTGTTGTCAGGTTCTAAAAAAAACAAATTATTTGCTACAATCAATGAAACAGAATCAGAATAACACACACAATGATTATATATATATATATATATATATATATATATATATATATATATATATATATATATATATATATATATATAAAGGAGAGAGAGAGAAAGAGAGAGAGTTTTGAAGTAATTTACACTTACCAAATACAGTAGGTCCTGCTTCAATAACAACTGGTGTTAAAATGCAATTTTGTGCTCCTTCACTTGCTGCTGGAGTTGAAATATGAGAAAGTACTTCTTCATCACTACAAGAACATTCTCCTTCTTCCTTATCATTACTCGATCGATTATATTTAACTTTTGGCCTCTAAATTTAAAATAAGATTTTAATGATACAGTTAACTAAAATCAAATGTTCATAATTTTATAACAGTATTATAAAGTATAACATAATTATAATATCAACAATTTTTAAAGCTATTATGATTTCTAACAAAACTGACATTTTTAATCTGATATGCTTTTTCATAATCGGTATAACTATTATTATTTCAGTATGATGATTCATAGATACAGATTAATCTAAGATTCAAAAATTCAGGACAAGGTAAAAAATTATCAGGATCTGGAATAAGTTCTCACTATTTCCTAATGGATGACAGCATCAGAACTATATACATTTCATTTCAGATGATAACTAATTTTCCAGGGGCGGAGTGGGCGAATAGGCTAACGTGTGTGTACAGTATGCACGGCAACCAGATGACCTGTATATGAGATTTAAAGAAGTATGAGTTCACGTCCCAGTGCCAGAGGGGATTTTAAATTCCACGCCCTCACCCTCCAGACCGGGAAAATCCTGTACAGCCTAAAAGGTGAGGTAGAGAAGAACAGGAAAAAAAAAGGTGACTAATTTTCCAAGAACTACAGTTAGCTTGGATTGCAGTGTATATCAGTTCGCCACAGAGTAAACTTTTTTTTTTGTTAAAAAAATCTCGAGTTTTGTGCCAAGTGAAGAGTATTTACAGGAAATTTCATTGCACTATTTTATTCAAAAGAAATCTTCAGGTGAAGCACATAGAATTCTTGTTGAGACTTACAGTGAGCATGTTTTGTTGGAAAAGACATCCAGAGCCCACTTTCGGCACTTAAAAACAATGATTTTAATCTTAGAGATAAAGAAAACTCTAGCATACTAAACCAGTTTGAAGACAGAATTTGAGAAATAACTTGATGAAGACTCATGTCAGATGCTAGCTGATTTTGGAAAATCATTGTTAGTACATGACAACGGTTTCGAAATGTTTGAAAGCATTAAGAATGATCCAACAACAAGGACCGATAGGTGCTTTATGAGTTGAAGCCAAGAAACATTGAACAATGTATTAAGACGTGTGAACTGCTGCTTCACTATCAGAAAAGAAAAAGGTTTTTTTTTCATTGTATCGTGACTAGTGAAGAAAAATGAATACAGTACAATAATCATAATCTTCACAAATCGTGGGGTAAGTCCAGCCATGTGTTAACATCATCTGCAAAGCCAAATAATATCTATGGTTCATATCTTCTTCTCTACATTTGGTAGGATCAGCACGGTATAATGCATTATAAGCTGCTCAAACCAAACGAAATTATCACAGGAGATTGCTAACGACAACAATTGATTTGTTTGAGCTGAGCCTTAAAGAAAAAATGCCTGCTATAACTTGTTTGTATAAAATATATAAAGGATATCTTACCTCATTAATATGAGAAAATTGTGTATGTTTATTATCTAGTCTGTCTTGAACGGAAGAATCCATTAAATCAGTCCTATTAAGATTAAGGGATTCACCCTGAGAAGGGAGGGTACAGTAAAATTTAAGTTCTTTGCTTTCTTCATCATAATAATAATATGCATTATGTTCTCTATAATAATAAAGACGAAAATTCTGAAAAAAAAGTATATATATATGGAATAAAATATTTTAATCAATGAACATAACAGTTTAACATAAAAAAATAAAATAAAGTGACTAATAAACAAAATGTAACACAGCAGTGCCCCCTAATCCGAACTAGACGGGATTAACCCTGTTCAGTTCATCGAAAATCACTTTTAAAATATTATTTTAAAAAATCTGGAGTAGTGTGCACATCACATAACTTTGAATCATCACCCAACCTTGAGTTGAAATATTTTATTTTTCATAGGCATTTGCCTATATAGAGAAGTGAAAGTAAAAAAAATTAATATTAACTGATATTTATTATAGATATACATATATTAGAACAACCTCAACATTTATCATAAAAATCTTTTTTAGAAAATTGTATAAAAATTAAATCTGGGAACTGTTAAACTAACAATAGGAAAACACTTAACTGACTTGAGTTTTTTTTTTTTTTAAGGAAAAGAAACTTCATTCTGGGACACAATCACCTCAAAATAACAATAATGAACAAAAGAAAAAAAAAACATAACTGGCCAAAGACTAACTTCATAAAAATTTTGTTTGTTAATAAATATTTCAAATGTAAAAAGATTGGATGGGCACTCTCAACTCTCATGCACTTCAATTTTCTATCTATGAGTAAACCTTATTTCTCCTTTAGTTAATTATCAAATTCATTCATGGTTTATATTTAACCATTTTTTTATTACTAGTAACAATGTAAAATATTTATACATTTTAAATAAATAAAATGAAAAATACTTTAGAGGAAAAAAATTTGATAATTCGTCATTTAAGCCCTGCCAGACTATTTCAATGAATATAACACCCGCTTTATATTAAAGACAGCTGGATTTTACATAGTTTAATCAAAATTGTTGCAAGCGGTTCACAAGAAAATTGTAAACATGTGTAAATTTGAGTAAAGTGTCACTTCCATTAAGTCGATTTCAGCGAAAAAGTTTCTATAACATCCCTGGCATATAAACCTAACTTAACTATGTAATATCAGTTTTGTATGACTTTTTTGTTTTTGAGCTAGGTTGACATATATTTCTGTTGAAAACTCAGATTCAAAAAGTTTCACAATTGCAATACTTTTCATTACTGTATATTTTAAATGTAGATAACTGAAAGTAAAGAAATATAATAAATAACAGAATAAATTAAATTAAAAAATCAGTCTAAAATGAGTATTTGAAACTAATCGGGGAATAAATCTGAGAGTTAGAAAATAGTGCTGATCAGACTGTCTCCCAACAATACATGAAAAAAAAATTAATAAAACTGGAACCTCAACAAGTTCTTGCTTTTAAGTCTGATGTAATTATTTGGTCTCCAAAATCTTTAACTATGATTGAGAAATTAAACAGTCAATTAGTTAGATCTCATTATGTTTTCATTAACTATTTTTATTATACCTAAGAATATATTCAATAATTATTTGCTGATGTTGATAAGATGAAAGAAACTTACTGGATTATAATAGCAGTTCATTTTTTCATCAAAGTACCACCCAGAATTAGAATCATAACTAAATCCTGTTTCAAGAGTGACTTTTTCTGCAATAACTGTAACGTCTTCAATGACGCTGGCAGGATTCCATTGGTTCACATCGTTTTCAACATCCGTTTGACATATAGCATCAATCTGCAATGCAAATGTTTGATTAATTTTCAATTTTCCATTTCAGCTAGTCTAAACTAAAAAGCAATATCTAGATTTAAAAATCTAAAATCAAATAGTGGTGGAGAAATAGTTGACTGTATATCAATAGTAGAAAAAATATGTCTTTTTGCGAAGTTGTACCTTTAATTGCACCCCCAACCAACTTCTGATAAAAAAAGTAGCATAAAAACGTTAGATAGAATCAATTTCGAGCTCAGAAATAAACACTAAATATCAATATCAATGATTTTGCGAATAATATTTTCCCATCCAATCACAATTTCAGTTGATAAGGTAACAGTTCACTATTTTTACAAAATATTTTATAAAATTTTGTTATTTTTTTATATTGCTGTTTTCTAATTTTGCTTTGCATGGATTCCTAAGTTATCATAAATCATTCCATTTGTGTTTTTTTTTTTTTTTTGGTGTACAATAAGAAAAACTCCCCAAACATTTGTTTCATATCTCTAAGCCTAATTTATTAATATGATTCTGGTTTGTGCCATTTTATCTATTTTATAGAACACTAAAATACACATCTGGCGGATACTTAAATCGATTTTTTAGGGATAAACAAAGATGATATTCGTTTTGGGCACTTCTAAAAATCCTTAACTAACAATTTTCAATCAAAAAATGAAAAATGTTTGCTCAATATTTTGCCTTCTATTAATAATAACTCTTATGGTATGTTGTCCAGATTCAGTTCAAAAATTAGAATGAAACATAATTGATTGATAAATGATAACTTAGGAATCCATGCAGAGCAAAGTCAGAAAATAATGATATAAAAAAATTATAAAATTTTGTTTTGGCTGCTAATATTTTTTGACCTAACATCACTAAAAAATATTTCATTAAAGTTGGTGACCCCACATCCATAACCCCCCAAGTCAGTCCCTTTTATGATATTCAAAATAAAAACTCACCAAAAATTACTTTTGGCCATTTTCGGAAGTTCATATTCAAAAAAGGACAAGGTTTTCAAGATTGAAATTTCTTCAGCAAGTAGTATAGCGATAGGACTATACAAGAACAAAAATGAAGGTGACTCTTTTCAATATTACACTTTTACAGAGCTAAACATCTTTTTTTATATAATACATATGTTTCTATTATAAAGTGGTATACAAATTTTATGAATCATAATTTTACACTCAGTTCCTTTCGCAATAGCCAGCTTAGAAAATCAATGAAAACAACCTGTGGCAAATTTTTGAAAATTCATAATTAAAAAGGGACAAAGTTTTTAAGATTGAAATTTCTTTAGCATTTAGAAACACTGATAAAGTTATAAAAGAAAAAAAAACTCTTTTTATCATTACACTTTGATTTTCAATTGAAGTCAGATATATTTCTGCAAATCATTTCATCGGAACCAAGTATTCAGTTAATAATACATTTTGGCCTCTTCTCTACCATTTTCAGTTATGTGGTGATTGGTATTCCACCTTCAGAATTCTTTCCACTGACTGAGGAGCGCTTATATGTGACATATCATCTTTCAGATCATAAACAACTTTTGGGATATAAAAGAGGTTCTTCTCTCTTCCAATCTCCATCCTTATGATGTTGAATGCGAAAAATATTTTTAGTACAACGTCAAATGGCCAATTTGCCAGAATGTGTTCTGCTACAAATTATAAATGTATTCAATGGTTATTTTAATACTGGAAGAAACCCTCAGTGTTTCACTGAACCAGTTATTCAAAAAAGATGATGTCCATAATTTGGAAAATTTCAAATTATATCCTTTATTAATGTAATTACTAAACTAGTGACTAATATTTTTCAGGGTGTTTGTGGATCAGGGTAAACGCAAATGAAATTTTAAATGAGTTCTAAGCAGGATTTCATCCTTGGTCAGCAAACCTGTTCCCAAGAATTATTTAAATTTACTAAAAGCTGCTAAATGGAAAGCCCTAAGTAGGCACAACAAGCCACCTTACTAAGAGGACAACTAGTCGGTTTGTGAATGATTAGTGGAACATCTTATTATTGATTATTGTTAAGATTTTCCATATCTATGCAATTACACTAACTTGAAAAATGAATGAATGAATGAAAAAAGAATTTTATTCTGGGACTGCAGTCCACTATAACATAGTTGCATAATTAAGAACATTAGTCTGGCTTAGATTAATACAAAATTATGCCTAATTAACTATTGATTGTTATTGCAATTGTGCAGTTGATTGAATTAAACTGTGTACAGACGCAAGTAAATTTTACATGTTTGCGGAAGTTTGAATATGGAGTAGGTGGTGAAACAGGAGTTGTTTGAAGAAATTTGTGGACAAGGATTGGCGTATGAAGTTAGGTAGAGAGTTCCAAAAGGAGGTAGAATGAACGACAAAGGATTTGCTGAAGGAAGTAGTTTTATGGGAGGAGATATATTGAGAGTGTGGATACAGGAACATAGAGTAAGCAGTTCCAGGATGTAGGGAGGGTTTTTGGTACTGAGGACTTGGAAAAGAAAAACAACAAGGAGGAATTGTAGTTGGGAAGTAAGATAAAGCCACTTCAACTTTGTGCACCTGAATGAAACATGGAAACACTTGGGGATCCCGAAGATGTATCTTATGAAACAATTCATGAGCTTCTTTAATCTCATTTCTAGACTGGCAGATAGCCTTCCATACACCAAGAAGCTATAGTTGAAGTGAGGAAATATAATGGAGGTTACAAGGAGCTGTCTGATTTTTAGAGGAATACAATCATGAAATCTTAGGAGTTGTTTAAGGAGAGTTAGTTAGATTTTCGGGTAATCTGGGAGCTATGGTTATTCCAGGACAGGTTCTGGTCAAAAATTACTAACTACAGGTTTTTTACTATAGGGGAAAAATGGATGGAGCAGTTATTGAGGTAAAATACAATAATAATACAGTGCTTAATAATAAAGGACTTAATAATACATTGGGGTCATACAGAGTCATTTTTTAATTGGTTGGCCATCTTGGATCGTCCCTTGCTATCTGCTTGCTCTATAGGCACCTCAAAACTGTTAAATTTTCATATTTTATTAGCAGTATTTTAGTTTAGAAGCTTAATTTGTTTTTTTAAGTGATAGGTTTAGTTTATTAATAGGTAGTTTTTATTGAATAGTTATACTTTTTAGTGTTTAAAGTGATAGATTCGTATTCAGTGATAGATTTCATCTTCACAGACTCTTATTTTATAAGTGATATTTTGTTTAAAAGTTTATGTTGTTTTAGTAATAGATTTAGTTTACTAATAGGTAGTTTTTATTTAATAGTTATGTATATTAGTGTTTAAAGTGATAAGTTTCTTCTTCATAGACTTAAAATGGTGAGTGTACTTCAATTCTTTACTTTATTTTATTAATTTTCCTTTTTAATTAAGTGGTGATGACAGAAAAAATTGAAATCAAGTTTGAAACTTGGTTATATGAAGATAGTGTCTATAGTTCGAGGCTACTAGCTAACACAATTTTTATCTTCAAATTAGTAGTTTCTAGTATAAAATTGAAATTTGATTTTCCTATATAGTTATCGTTACTTTTGTCATTAAAATATGAGTACAGTTGATTATCCTTAGCTTTATTGAGATCTCAAGTAGACCTGGGCAGAATTTATTTGAAAAATATTCCCGGAATAAATCCCTAAATAAATCTCGATAGTTATTTCCGAAATAATTTATTTCATGAAATAACCTGACCATTATTTCCGAAATGATTATTTCGGGAATAAATTATTTCAGGAATAACGATATCTGAAATGATTATTTGTGAAATCTGAAATAATCATTCCAATTGACTTTTAGATATCATCAATATCCGGGTCTACTGTTATGTTTTCGGGGGCACTTAATATAAAAATAATGTCAAATTTGAGATTGCGCCCCCCTCCCCTCCACACCCTAGCGTCGGCTTTTTGTAACTTTTCGGATTTAATCAATATCAGGGTCGACTATTATGTTTTCGGGGGCGCTTTTTATGAAAATACAGTTGAATTTAATATTGCGCCACCCCCTCCCAACCCCCCATCGACTTTTTGTAACTTTTCAGATATAATCGATATCAGGGTCGATTTTTATGTTTTCGGGGGTGCTTTTTATGAAAATACTGTCGAATTTGATATTGCACCACTCCCTCCCCAACCCCCATCGACTTTTTGTAACTTTTCAGATATAATCGATATCAGGGTCGAATATTATGTTTTCGGGGGCGCTAATTATAAAAATAATGCCGAATTTGATATTGCACCATCCCCTCCACACCCCCATCGACTTTTTGTAACTTTTCAGATATAATCGATATCAGGGTCGACTTTTATGTTTTCGGGGGCGCTTTTTATGAAAATACTGTCGAATTTGATATTGCACCACTCCCTCCCCAACCCCCATCGACTTTTTGTAACTTTTCAGATATAATCGATATCAGGGTCGACTATTATGTTTTCGGGGGCGCTAGTTATAAAAATAATGTCAAATTTGAGATTGCGTCCCCCCCCCCCCACTTCCAGCATCAACATTTTGTAACTTTTCGGGGCGCAATCTCAAATTCGACACTGTTTTCATAAAAAGATACCCCGAAAACATGGTGCACATTGGTAATTTTTTTATGTTATTTCTGAAATATTTATTTCTTGATTTTATGCAATAATTTATTTATGAAATAAATAATTCTGAAATAATAGTTATGAAATAATTTATTTCAGAAATAATTCATTTCGAAATAATTTACATTATTCCAAAGAATGTTAAAATAGTGAAATAATTATTTCAGAAATAAAGCCAGAGTTATTCCATCGAGATTATTTCGTTGACTGTTTGAAATATTATTTCAGAAATAACCGTTATTCCCGAAATAATTCATTCGTGGAATAACCATGTGAATTATTTCAGAAATAAATTATTTCAAGAGTGCCCAGGTCTAATCTCAAGTAACTAAAAGTAGTTTTCTTTTATGACAGAATAAGTGGTATGATACACATCATAATTGATTTTTAAGATATAGATTGTTGTGCTCCAAAGGTTCTGAAATGAAATTATTATTTTTCTTATTACTGAAATTCTAATACTGTTACTGTTTATTCAAGATGGTTTTTTATCATTTAAGATCAAGATTATCATTTAAGGATCATCAACTATACTTAATTCAACTATGATATAAGGATCATCAACTACACTCATATTTTTAATATTGAAAGTAACAATAACTATAAAGGAAAACCAAATTACAATTTTATACTTGAAACCACTGACTTCAAAATAAAAATTGTATCAGCTAATAGACTCAAACTATAAAAATATCTTCTATAACCAAGTTTCAAACTTAATTTCCATCTTTTTCTTTCATAATCACTGAATTACAAAGGAAAATCAATAAAACAAAGTAACAAATTAAAAGACAAGTCATTTTCGAAACCTATATGAGCTAAATCAACTCAGTAAGAGATGATTTAAGGCCGCCTAACTGTTGCAAGACCAAGATCAAGACTGGTAAAAAAAAATTCCTTTTTATTTTTCCTTAATAAAAATTAAGGTAAAATAGTCACTAAAACTTGACAAATTTAGTTAACATATGTAAAGAATTGGTATAACCTATATCCTTTTGGATTTAACTCTAAATTTTTTATTCGGACTTAGTTATGTTTCCCATATCTGAAAAATCACAGTAATATCTCTATAATGATAAGCTAATAGGTAACTGGAAGACTGTTGCAAGACCAAGAACTGTCATGGTCTCACATTCGGGCAACACTGGTTGTGGTGTTCAGTCACAAGTAATAAAGTAAAAATAAATAAATTATATTTATTAAATTTACATTAAATAATTTATATTTATTAAATAATTTATTTTTATAAAATTTATCTTAAATAATTTACATTTATTTCAAGTTTAGTTTTTTACAAAGGAGAATATTAAGAAGAAAAATAAAAATAGTTTCATGGTTGCTCACTTAGAATTGAGTATTCTGGTTTTCCAATGAAAGTTAATTTTCACTCAGTTTTTGTTTAATGTTTTAATAATTATATAAATTTGTTTCTGAAATTTTCCAATGAGAGAATTAGATGAATAAAATGGAAATCACAATATGCCAAAGTTTATTGTAGAAATATATTTTAAAAGAAGTTAAATAGAAAAAAACAAAATATTGTTCTTTGATTTTATTATTTATTTTCGCATGATATAAGTGATTCAAATGCTTCATTCAGCTTGCTCAACTTCAATTCTATCTCCCAAACCATTCTAATTAATAGTTTGTTACAATAATCACTTTTTAAATTGAAATAACAAAGAGACTATTCAAATATTAGTTTCCTGCTGATCCAATATGGCCGCCCCATGTATTATTAAGATACTGTAAGGTAAAGTAGGAAAGGGACTAATGAGGTGTCTGGACCCGATAATTTTAGTTTTATCCGCATTCAGCTTTAACTCATTAATTTCTGCCCATCAGTTGATGCAGTCAATATCCTCTTGTACCTTTCAGGTAGCCTCAGGCATCTCAGAAGGTTGGAATGATTGGTAAATTTGGAAATCACCAGCATATAAGTGGTAAGGAGAGTATTGAATGGCATCAGGAAGGTCACTAATATAAATAGAGAAAAGAGTAGGAGAGAGGGAGGAATCCTGAGGAACAAATCGTGTTAATTGAAGGGGAGACGATGGAGGTTTGTTTGTAATTACAACTGTCTGAGATTGATTGGATAAGAAGGATGGAGGTTTATTCGTAATTACAACTGTCTGAGATTGATTGGATAAGAAGGAAAGGGGCCATTTTAGGACGCTATTTGATATGGGCAGGCTTTGGATTTTGGAAAGGAGGATTTCGTGATTGACGGAATCAAATGCTTTGGAAAAGTAAGAAAGGATTAGAATATATTTTCTGTTTATCTATGGTGGATTGCAGGTCTTGGGTAATCTTCAGCAAGACAGAATGGGAATGGACATGAATTTGAATGCACAAGAAAAGTAGTAGATCATATGGATATTATAAAGAATAAACTTACGCCTTTTGGAGGGTCCTTCTCAGTGAAAGTAACTTCATCATCAAATAGATATTTGTAATCTTTCAGGAACTGAAAAAGATTAATTTAACTTTGAAACCAACAGTGTAATTAATTAACCACTTCATAATAATTTATATCATTATACATATTTTAAGTCAATATTTTTATCACACAACCATGTAGATTTTCAAAGCAGCAAAGAGAACAAATATCAATAAACAGCAAAGAAGATGATACTAGTAGAATAAAACATAAACATTCTAAAATGCAATAAATATATGTTACATGAAGGAAGTTAGTCGACTGTTCTACATATCATGGGTGATAAACATTCAGTACTTGAATATCTTCAGCGCTCGAACCAGGCCCTGACGATGATCCACATGTTTGGGTTTAAACGTCGGCACTAATAAAAACCTTATAATGACTGCGTCCTGAATATTTATCACCCATGTAAGTCACATAATTTACAACAATATTTTAAGTATTCATACATAAAGCTAATATATATAAATTTAAAAAATGATTGTACAAAGAAAATTAAACCCTGTGTAATGAAAGTAGAAATATTCTTTAATGTATTTTACTTATTCTACTTAAAACTATCAAAGGGTGGCTCTCAACGCAGATACACATTAAAAAATTCTATGTGGGTTGGTGACTGCTGTTTGATATATTACTAAAATGACTTTGCCAATCCAACTATCATCTATATATCTTCCATTCTTTCAGAAAATTCAACTTTTCCCAGACAACTTCATTAATTCTATAAATTCTGTTTGGGCTCTCTCTTCTGTTTAATCTACCATATTTGTGTCTAGTAGATGGAGCAGTAACCTCCAGTGAGTCCACTTTAGATGATGTTGGGGCCTTACCAGACGATTCGGTCACCTCCCTCTACTTTCGGACACATTCAATCATTTTCAGAATTCTATTTATAGAGTAATCATGATATCACGCAACACCCAACAAAGTGAAGAAACACTTGCAGTAGTACTTTAGTCCTTTAGTACTTTAGTCCTACTGTACTAAACAAGTACAGTAGGACTAAAAATAGTTATTCTTCATTGAAAGAAAATATATAATAAATTTAATAAAATTGGAGATTATTTTGTTTACCATTTGGCCAAGTTCTGGAAGCTGCTCAATGTAAATAAATGACAAAGTACTAATATAGAATATATTTACCTAGAATAACAACCTCAGATGACAATTGTCACCGATAGTTCACTAACGAGAACCTCCTGATCAAGCTATGTATTATGTGCAAGGAATGCTGTCTTGAAGAAATACACAATTATGCTTAAACTTTAGAAGCTCATTACTGACCACGTATTAAAATTGAGGTTTAACACAGAAAAATTAAGACAAAAAAAATTATAACTGACAGTAGTACTGTAAGATTAGGCATTAAGGAATTTTACCATGCGAAAATTGTAGATAGTATAAAAACCCTCTAGAGTACAATGAGATAAATCTATCACAAATATTAAATTTATTATTGTTCAAAATAGAAAAATTCATGTTTTGTAAGTAAATCAAACTAATTAAGGATATATTAAATGTCAAATGTCTAGAAATAAAATGATAATTGTCGCTATTTACATACACTGACAGGCAAAAAATTCCACCCACTTGATTTTTTCATGTTTTCATCTAAAAATATTTCACCCACTTGTAAAAAAAGTCGTATTTGTATATAACACATGGTATTTGTAGATAATACTTAGTATTTATGGAATTTTATAACCTTTAAGTTTAATAATCAAAATGTGATTAGGTAAGAAAGACTAGAGAAAAAAAAAATTGAAAAACGAACCATTATTATTCTAAAAGAAATTAATTACATCATCGTTTAGTAGAGCGTGTTTCCTTCTCTTGCCTTCACTACTTCTTGAAGACGCCTCGGCATACTTTCCACCAGTTGGGAAATGTCCCTTTGCTGGAGGATAGCCCATTACTCCCGAAGAGCCCTTTCAAGGTCCTGCAGTGTATCAGGAAGTGTTGCACGCGTTCTTATTCTTCCGAGGTTATCCCATAAATGCTCAATGGGGTTCAAATCTGGAGAACGTGCTGGCCAGGCTAACACCTCAATATTGTTCTGTTGAAGGAACGTCTGCACTGAACGTCCAATGGCTGTGGTCTCGAGCAAAAGCCAGCCGTGTTACTCTGTGAGTTCTGGTCAACTCTGGTCCTCTTACTGGACGAAAAGCCATTAATCCATACTCATTTAATCTTCTCCGAGCGGTACGTTCAGAAATTTGCACACCTCGAACTTCTTCGAGCTGATGAATTGCTTGAACAACGGTAAGGTGCCAGTTTTGTAAAATTCTCAAAGTCAAAAACCGGTCATCCCGTGGTTTTGTTACCCTAGGCCATCCAGAACTGGGCCTTCTATTGTAATAACCAGATTCCCGAAAACGACTGACGGCGTCTCGTAAAGTTTCATATGGAACTCCGATGGCATTAGCTGCATATCTAATGGAACGTCCATCATCAATAAGTGCCACATCCTCAGCACTTAGAGGCATTTTTAAACTTAATATTGAAAAAATTAAAAGCCGGAGACTAAGAAATGTGCTGCAAGAAACGGCACTGAACTAATGATACTGAATAAACATTTTGATTCCATAGAAAGTAAACATTGGAATCTAGAATCATTTCATTGAATTAAGGATTAAGGGTTATTGTCCTCTATATTAACATTCCTAATTGAAAACAAACAAAAAGATTACCTATTTATTCATTAAAAACAATAGACCAATCCAAAGCAGAAATATTTTTAGATGAAAACATGAAAAAATCAAGTGGGTGGAATTTTTTGCCTGTCAGTGTATCTGATTTTATAAAAAAATTAAAATAAAATACAAACTTAAATATTACTATAAATATCTTGAAAGAACTATAATTTAAAGAGAGTTAGTAACCAATCTCATAGCTCACATCTCTAATTTTATTACCATAGTTCAACAGTGTAACATTTTAAAGAAAATCAATTTCGAGATGTGCATATATTCTTAGTAATAAGGGCAAGCTCTGTCATCACTCTAAAAATACTCATTTGCAAATGAAGAGGATTGTTGCATTAGCTGTTTATAAAATATAAAAGGGGAATCAATATTTGTTCAATTTCTCACTTGTTGATTGTTTACAAATCGCAATGGGCTAAATCCTTTGAAATAAACTCTCTCAAACATTAACGAAAAATGGGATTATCCTCAGCTTTACAGCTTGTGTTCACTTCACATTATTTCTCATAAACCAATTTTTTTTCACTAATAATTTTCATTAACCCTTTCTGAAAGTTCCTCTGGGTATTAAAGAATGTTTGTACAATGTCTTGCAGCAGTAGAGCTTGTAACAGCTCTTGCTGCTTTGAAAGGAGGTGATACCCCGAGAAATGTGGCAGCAAGGCCAGGAACCTCACAAAGTGTCATAAGTCACACATTGAGACATTACTAGGATAGTGATTCATTTGAATATACAATTGGTGGATGTCAAAGATCTACAACAGTGCAACAAGATCGATATTTGACAGTCCAGGTCCAAAGGAATCCCTTCAACACTTACCAAAGGCTAGCTGATAATATGTTTTCTGCCTCTAATAAGCAAATTAGCATTCGCACAGTTAGAGGGATGGTAGAGCATAGATTGCACTGGGGAAGACCTCTGCGCAGAGGAAAGCACTTTCCAGGTCTCACCCCACAACATAAAGTTCAAAAACTTCAATCCGCTCAGATTCACACACATGGACTGATCATGCCTGTGATAATTGCCTTTTCACAAATGAGTCTAAATTTGTACAGCACCACGATTAAAACTGAGCAAGTTACGAGAAGATCTGTTGAGTAATACAATCTTTCCCTGGTCTCGCCTGTTTTCTCATTTAGAGGAGGCTCAAATACAGAAAGGGATGGTATATTCTTAGGCTCTCAAACACAAACAGTGAAGTTATGAAATGAGACTATGTCTGCTCAGCATTACTTGAACAGAGTCTTAATGCAACTTATGGCAGAAGCAATTGGCACCAAATTTGTTTTTGTGAGTGACAACACTACACCTCACAGAGCTAGACTCGTAAATGCATTCTTACAAAATCAAGAAATATGAACGCAGCCTGGACTGGCCTGCTGAATGAACATTTATGGAATCAACTTCAAAGACGGATTTCAGGATGGAATACCCTTCCAAAAACTCTGGATGAACTGCACAGAGCACTCTTAAGGTGCGTGAAAACTAAATGAATTTGTTCATGAACAAAGATTTAGCTTATTAAGTAAATGGGAAGTCAAATTTGATAATTAGCCGATTCGCACGAATGCCCATCCGCGCTATTAGCCTCATCATCTACAGGCAGTGCTTAAAGCTCGAGGTGGACCAACTAAGTACTAAAACAAAAAAATGAATAAAGTTGTTCAAAATTTTAAATATAATTAATCTCTAAACAAAAATAAACAGTTTAATTATAGCAATATTTCTTGATTATTACTAAACATCAGAATTAAGTGGGTTTTTTAAAATCTTATTTTGAATGATCCACTTCATTTGTAAATAAGTATATATGTAAAATAGCAAAGAAATATATATATATAAATTATTTCAAGACATTACTGCGTCTAACTCCATATATTTTGTCCTATTGCTAAAAACACATGCATATGTTTTTCCTTATAGCTAAAAATACCTGCATACTTCAAAACTAACTTTTTTAAGAAGCTATATAATTGAACTGGGGCAGTGATTTATTCAATTAGCTGAAATATTATAACAAAGAAACATGGAAGCATTAATGAGTTAAATATATTAACCATATTCATAAGTAATTACTTTCTTTAATGCGGCAGGTGAATCTGATTTTAGTTCATTAAGCACTTCCACCAGTAATTTTAGCCTTGAGTCTAAACCAGGTGAGTATTTATCCGATTCTGTCATACTGATAATTTAAAAATTAACACAATAATATGAAATCAATTCAAACTTTTAAAACATTAGTTGGGTTTAAATAACAAACAAACAAATCAACGATTGTTTAACAACAAATGCATACTGCTAATAAGCAGAACAACATATTAAATGTCAACAAAATGTTAATAAAAATAATTATAAATAAATTAAACATTGTCACTTTGATGAACCGTTAACAAGATAACACAAATTCAACTTTCATTTTCAACTAATGTCACTTTTTAGAAGTATAAAGAGATATTGTAAACAGAGAAAAAATAACCTACAACTTCGTAGTATACGTCATTAGAATCCTCTTTTCTTTTTCAACTACATGCTGTTATTGCATTTGATTGAAGTATTTTTTTTTTACAGTTTATCTTTTTAATCTAGTTTTTAAGAATCTTTTTTTAAAAAAATAACAATTAAATATTTATAATTATTAATTCATATTCTACACTAGCGGTCATAAAAAACAGACGCACAGTGAGGCAGAATGCCCAAAAACTAGGCATAAATTAAAAAATTGAGTGCTTTCTTTTGAAAAATTGTTTTTCATATTTGAACACACTATTTAACCGAGGTATAAACTTGGACCTCAATATGTTTTGGACTGCACCAGCTCGTTCCAAAGTCGACAATCTGATACTTTCTTTGCGAGCGTTAATATCAATAGTTGTCTTTAAGCGTCTCTCTAGCAATTAGCGTTTAACATTTTTAAATATAACTAATTTAAAAATGATATTGAAAGTAATTAAATTTCATATTATATCAATTTTTATCTATCATAAATATTGATTGGGGAGATAGGACAAATTCTTTAAAATTAATGCATTTAAATTAACTTTGATAAAAAAAAACAAAAGTTCGCCCCACACCACCTCTAATTTTTTACGGTATTTTTGTTCAGTATTTATCTGTCTATTAAGCAAACCTTACACATTCCATATTATTGAATCAATAATATTGATGCAATATTCTTGAACATTGTATACAAAGTACAAATGTCAATATAATTGTTACAATATATCCCTCAGACGGTCAATATATTCGATATTGACTTAATAATATTGACTGTGTAAGATGGGCTTTAGGGACAAGATTAAAATCCTCCTCCAACTTGTTCCTTTTCGATTTTTAAAATTTTATATACAAATTTTTATTGAAATGCATTTGACATTCAACTTCTTTTCGCTTATCCAGCTGATAACGATTAGATTTTCATATCCAGAAGAGAACTATATGATATAACTAAGTTATCATATAAACGCACAATGGAGGATGTGATTTTTTGGTCAATGGAATTGGATAAATCCAGACAGTCAGCTAGAAAGTTAAGTTGAATTTTTTAGACCATCATAAACTAAATATATTTCTTATTTGCTTTAAAATATTTTACTACACTTCTTATCTGTTCACCGCTGCTCAGTGACAATATTTGTTTACAAGTGATGTTGCCATTGTTTAGGGATTTTTAAAAAAAATATTTTATTGAATGATAATACAATCTGCCTCATGAAGGGCAACACGCATTAGTGATACAAGAGTTCATTCATACAATATATACAAAAAGCAAAAAAAAAAAAAAAAAAAAACAGGAAGCAAATATAAATAATAATAAAAAAATTACTTAAATAAATAAAAGTAATCTTCTTATACACATTCATACCTATATGTACAATATCTATATTCGCCCAGAGAACTCCGAGAAAAGCTTTGTCCTCCACGTGTGGGAAACCAAGCAAGACTCAAAAGTGCTTCTCTTCCAGCCGCATCACTGGTATTAGAAGCCAAATAAAAAATAATTGAAACAAGACAGGGAAGAGGTCTACTACTGTCGTTTCCACCATGTCCTATGAATACTATCGTTATATCTTGTTTTTCAGCACATTTAGTGGTTGTCAACAAAATGTTATAAATGAAACTGAAAGAGACCATAGACGCTCAGGACTTGAGAAGCCGGCAATTGCCAGGACTCCAAAAGAATATTTACAAAAGGTCTCGGGGCCACTGCCGCTTTAATCTTTGAGGAGGATTATAGGGATGGTTGTATCTGGATAGGGATTGAGATGGAGGGTTAGGATGATGAATAGGATTCTGGTGGAAGTATGTTAATCTGGATGGGATAACGTCAAGGACATATGGGATGTTAAGGCCATGGTGTAAGGTCTTGTTTGTAAGATAATAAGGAGCATTGAGTACTTTGGATTGGAAGGATTGGATACGTTTGATATTCGAAAATTCAGCTGTCCCCCACAGTTCAAGTCCATAGGTCCAGATAAGTTTCAGTACAGTCTTGTGGATCATTAACTTGTTTTCAATTGTAAGATGATAATTTAATAATCTTTATTAATGGCCAAACCGTGGGTTTAGTTTTTATCGTTTAAGTCTTGTGTGTGGATTCCAAGTCAGTCTTTTGTCTAAAAGGAAGCCAAGGTACCGGACAGTGAATGAGGTGAGAAATGAAATAGAGTTAAATAGGATTGGCGGACAGAATCTGCGTTGGAGGACGAAGGTGACATGTTTACATGTTGATTCATTAATTTTGATGCGCCAATCGTTGCACCACTGCTCAATCAGTCCGAGGTGTTTTTGTATTTTGTGGGATAATATTTCGGGGTCTGAGTGGGAGCACAGGATGGCGGTATCATCAGAAAATGTAACTAGGGAGGTTCTTTAGAGAAGAAATGATTTTCAGTATTTCCTCTTGATCTGGTGGTACATCCTCTTCATCATTATCCTCTTGTACTTCATTGCATTCGCCCTGCTGCCCTCCTGTGGCACTATTAACTTCTGGCCTATTTAAATTCAATAAGTTCTGGAAATAAATTACCCATCTTTCGAAGACTTCTTTACTATATTGTATTCCCCCACTTCGACTACGGCTGTTTGGTGTATGGAGGGTTATCAGCCAGGCTAGAAATGAGACTGAAGAGACTCATGAATTGTTTCATAAGATACATTTTCGGGATCCCCAGGCGTTCACATGTTTCACTCTAGTACACCGAGTTGAAGTGGCTTTATCCTACTTCCCGAACGCAATTCCTCCTTGGTGTTTTCCTTTTTCAAGTCTTCAGAACCAAAAACCTTCCCTACATCCTGGAACTCCTTACTCTACGTTTCTCTATCCACTCTCTCAATACGAGGTCTCAACCTATAGACTTATATATCTCCTCCCACAAAACTTCCTCCTTCAGCAAATCCTTCGCCATTCGTGCTGCTTACTTATGGAACTCACTTCCTACCTCCATGCGTCAATCCTCGTCCACGAATTCCTTCAAACAACTCCTACTCCACCTATTCCACATTAAAACTTCCCCTAACATGTAAAATTACTTGCATCTGTACACTGTTTAATTTCAATATATTGCACAATTGAAATAACAATTAACAGTAAATTAGTTCGTTTTATATTATGTCATAAGTTTTATTATTATGTCAGACTAAGACCCATATATATATATATATATATGTTTATATTTACAACTTTTCTTTGATCGACCTTTAAGTATTAAATTTTAACATAATTATTTAATTGGGAATAAGGTCACTTATTAATTGTTCCACAAAATACTAAATGTTCATTGCTTCTGTGTTTATTCGACGTTTCGATCCCGTTTTTTTTTTTATAAGTTTAAAATGGTATCTTCTTCAAAGCTGGAACAACAACAAAGCCTTCGGGCTCAGGATCGGGGTGAGCAGACGCTTAGTGGTCCAGTAACTTAATATATACTCATAATAGTATTCTAAGCTCCTCCATATCCTCAATACCCATTCCCCTCTTCAAACCTCTACATTCCGCCGCCAATCTGCTCCTTGGATACGTCAAGAAATTCGAAATATGCTAAAAAGACGTGAGGCAGCCCGTAGACGCTTTAGAAGAACCTGGCTTGCAGATGACTATGAAGCGTTCAGGGTGTTGTAAGTTGACGTAAACAACAATCAGACAAGCGAAAACCACTTACTACTTTCATGAGGCTATCTCCACTGCCTCCGATTCTAAATCCAAATGTCATTTACTTCGAAAGCTGTCTCTTTGCAGATCATCTTCCTCCTTAGTCGTCCCTGGCTCTCCTGATGCTTTAAATTCCTATTCTAGTAACATTTCTCCCACCTCTGCCCATATTTCTGCATCATCTTCATTCAATAGTGACAATTTTTATTTTCCTCCATAATGAAATCCCGATCCGACTCTGTAGGAATTGACGGAATACCCGTCAAACTGTAAAGATTATGCCTCCCTGAAATCCTTCCAGTCCTTCTATTAATTTATAACTTTTCCCTCCAAAATTTTGTTTTTTCTACCATTTGGAAAAAAGCCTTGGTCCGTCATATTAATAAAATCCCTAACCCTACCTCTCCTAAAGACTATAGTCCAATTTCTATCCTCCGTAATCTGTCAAAACCCTTCGAAATAATAGACCGATCCCAAATTTCTAATTATCTCAAAGAGTTAAAACTTCTAGATCCTCTCCAATCTGGCTTTCGCCCGGGATTCTCCACTCAATTCGCTTTAGTTAAAATCACAAATGACATACATACAGCAATTGACGAAAGAAAACTGACTGTATTAGTACTCCTGCACTTCCCCAAAGCATTCGATTCCTTAGACCATTCTATCCTCTTCACTAAATTAAAATCTCTATCCTCCTCCAATAGTTCTATCCTATGGTTCCAATCCTTCTTTTCTGACAGGACTCAAGCTGATAGTATTCCGAATCAACCCTTATATTCCTTCCTCATTTTGTCTCATGGAGTAGCCCTGGATTCAAGCATTTCTCCTCTCCTTTTTAATTTTTACATCAAAGGCCTTCCTAGTTCAATCCAGTATTGTTCATATCATCTATATGCTTATGAGTCTCAAATTTATGTTTCCATTCCGCCCACTGAGTTATTAGAAGCGTTTACTAATATTCAGAAATACCTAGATAGGATCAGTGCCTGGGCAAGCTTGAATAAATTAAAGTTAAACGCAATGAAAACTCAGGCCATTCTTATAGGTTCCAACTCCCTCCATAGATCCATTTCCATCCTTTCTTCCTTGATTATTAATGGCCAACCAATCTCATTCACCTTCTCTGTAAAAAAACTAAGGAATTACCATTGATCAAAACCTATCCTGAAAACCCCATATTGCTCATATCTCCAGAAGTTCAATTGGTACACTAAACTGTTTCATCTTTCTCATCAGCATTTCCCATAATCTATCCACAAGCTCCTCGTTTTCTCATTGATTTCCACCACTTTGACTATGGCTGTGTGTTATACGGCGG